CAGTAATAATCGACCTCTCGAACCTGGATGAATTTAGTTTCATAGGTGTAGAGAAGGCATTCCTAAAGTAGTAGTTCTTTGCAGGGTTGCCACTGGTGGCTACTTTTCACCAAATTGGCAAGTTTGAGAGGCTCGTGGCAACCTAATATTGTGAATGGTGACATGGCGAATTTTCGGCAATTCTCGTCTTAGGGCTCGACGGAGTTATGCATGCTACACTCAGTGCCTTCGAAACAAATTGGCAACAACACCTTTTAAATTTTTCCGTAGTTTTAGACCCTCCAGTAGAAGGCGCACTTAACGCGCAATTCAGTACGTGTATATTCTTTGTCTATTCGCCTATATCTTTCGAGGCACAGACGTAGTGAGCCCGCCAGCAACCTTCTAGCAAAGTTTTATCAACCGAGTGCTGCAGGTGCAGCGAAGCTGTGGTACAAGTTTTTAGGTGCTTTAGGAGTTTTAACTTCTTTAAAGTTTCTCTTCTCAAGGGGCTGCTGACAGTTAGGCTATGTGTTCCAACCAGAGCTCCAACTGTCCTCAATAGCTTGCCAACTTGTTCACTACGGTAGTACTCCCGAATTCAGTATGTAGAGTGTATATTTGTCAACAGACTTTTCGGGCTGGCCAAGAAGTCAATTTTCTCGGGTAGCCTTCAGAAACTGCATTGAGACGAATATGTAGCGTAAGCATGACTGCACAGAAAGCAGGATGCAGGCATTGCTGTGGGTATGCAGTCCTTTTGAATTTATTTCTGTTGTTTCGCAATTACCTTGTTCGATTTTCGAGCACAGCATTCGACTTCAATGAGATCATCTAAAACTGCAGGAAGGCTGTGCAAACCGCCCCTCTTTTGTTGTAGCGGCTGTTTCTCCCTGTATTTGATACAACTGAAACCATGACAAACTTTTGTTAGGCACTAACTTTTAGGGATGCTGCTGGTGCATTAATGCCATAGAGTTTCCTAAATAAACACTAAAGTGAGCTCGGGCGCTAATATCTATGGGAGCTGCAACCCATGGCGCTTCAGTGAACATGAGAACTTTGAGCAGTACATGTATTTGCCTAGTCTTCGTACTTCACGTTCCTTCTGGCTTCCCATGACTTGAAGCTGCTTTGTCACGAACCAACAATCGGCAAATGTTTGGCAGTTACACTTTACCAGCTTCACCTTTCAGAATGGCCATTTCAAATCAGCTCACAAAGCTCCAAACGGTTTATCTTTTCACTCGAAACAATACAAAAACACAGCAATATACGAAGCCACAAGTGCGATTCGCCGCCTGCAAGCCTGTACACTAGATAAATCCATGCCCCACCCACAATTCTCATGGTCGCTGAACGATCACAGTGCCAGAGTCTCCTCTAATTAGTTTTAAGATACTCTATGATCCATGCCCTTTCTCAGCGCTCCCATCATGAAGTGGGCGATGAGACTCCAAGGCTAAATCTAAGCCTAGTGAGCCCTCCGACGGTGAATTGTGTGATTCGACTTGGATTGAAAAACGTCTGTATAATTTAGGGGTTATGAATGTTACTGCATTACTGGAGGCTATAAGTAATTAGAAATCTTTATTACTGTGGGCCTGCAACATGTATTAAGTGGCGGCTTTTTTGGTGTAATTTGAAGAGAAAAAATGGTGACTTCTCATGACTTTTAGCTCGTTTGAAATTTGGCGAACTTCACTGAAAAGTAAGTGGCAACCCTGGTTCTTAGCCTCTTGATTTTAGCTTCTATTTACTTCTCAATGCATAAACTCAACAAGCATTATTATTACACTTAGAATGAAGATTCTTACGAAAGTGCTTTATGCGATGAGCAAGATGGATTATATTTTTACGGTAGCATAAAATTTATGCTACCAGAAAATACTATTTATTATATTTTTGTGACACATGGTTTGATAGGCTTTATCCCAAAACTTGAGAAGGAGTACATCTAGATTGCAAACTTTGCTACAACATTCGAATTCCTCAAAAGATGAGGTTAAAGTGCCTCATAATGAAGTGTCATCAACTTTAAAAGTTAGCAAAAGTTAAGAAAAACCCTTCAACGACTTCAAGTTTTACACCTTGCAATAGAATCTCACAGCCACAAGACGAACTTAGGTTGCAGCTAATTTTTTTTCATCTGGTTTTGCGAAACTGTAAAACGCTAGTGTAAAAAAATATGGCTGCTCCTAGAAAAAAAGCAGGGTTCGTACAGTGATATTATAGCGTGTAGAAGGATAAACGAGCTGTTCACTGATACCTGCTGAAATAACGAACACGCTCTAGGGCGTGCTAGCACTCGTCACCACGCCCTTAATTCAAAGTTCACAGTTGTGGATCGAGCCACACAGTCTCCTACTTGAGTATCAATTCATACTCCTTCGTCCAGAAAAAGACAGACAGCACTTCCTTTCCTGTTGAGGAGCAATCGACAGTAATCATCACATGCGGAGTGATGCTATCCCATGCGCCCTCTGTGCGATTGAGATCGGCAGCTTGTTGATCGTCTACGCTTAAGCAGTGTTCCTCACTATAGCACTCACGAGATTTTCTACACAGGAACAGCATTCAGTGTGCATACAAAAGTATTTTATTTGGTCGTTATAAACCCAACATGACAGGGATTATGAAAGCCTGCAAAGAGTGTTCGTATAATTCTTCTCGTAATCAAAAAATATACAAGAACCGTCGAAGCAGGCTAGCCTTTTTTATGAAGAGCTGCGTTCTCTTACTGAAAGGAATTCATCCGTTGGAAATATGAATCTTTCAGAGCCTTTTCTTCAGGTTTCATTCTCAATTACACTGCACTACACTCTCTTTACAACAATTCTTACAGGCTGTTCGACATTTATGTCTTCACTAAAGCATGTGTGCAACGTGAGCAATAACCATTTAGCCTATCACGAGCTCAAACTTCTCGGCTACACTCTTTTTATTTCCACTTGCGCAATCGAAAACACAAAATGAAGTGAAATCACAAGTTCATCGCACATGATAATATTGCAAGATCCCAGGAAGAATGGGGGTGGTGTGTAAAAAATGCATAGCAAAGCAGGGTACAAAGCAATTACAACTAACATTTCTCGTATATGAACTATTTCAGAGTATGTGCTTTAATCATGTCATGTTAATCACTGTTGGGGCGTACCGAATGGCACCAAAAGACCTGGAAACGCCAAGACAAAACAACAAGCTCGACTGTGCATCTTGAGAAGCTGTTTTAGGGCCTTTATATAAACAGGGCATGCTTACATGGAAACTGGAGAGCAGTCAAGACACCGCAAATGCTACTCTTAGAATTTTTAAAGCTGCAGAAAAGGAGGTGAAGTCATGCATTTTAATGCCAGATTCTCCACTCGGGTAAAAGTAAGACAAATAGTGGCACGCTGCAAATTACTGTGCAGAGGTGGCGTGGTCTCTGTGGAGAGGAGTGGGTAGTCGAAAAGCTCCCGAACGCGCACTCACGCACTCTTATGTCGCAGTTGAGAGCATCTTATTTCTTGGCTGTCCTAAAGCTTTCACTGGAACGATTCTGTTGTAGTTACTGGATGCACAAAGGTCACTGCAATCATCTCACAGTCTCTGTTTGTGAAAAGAGCATGCTTTTCAGACACTGCAAAGTAACAACTGAGACGCTTATTCGCGTTCATCTGTACCTGTGAGTATGTTTTGTGCATTATTTGTGCATGAGAAACACGGGGCAGGTTTCGATCTGCTTGCCATTCTGCGTGTGACCTTCCAATTTGTTGCTATCGCGCTCATTGCTTCGCCTTTGTGGCAAAGCTGTGTCTTTTTTTTAACACTATTGCATTTAAATTTCACAATGTCTGTTGTTGAAGTTACTGTGTAAATATGAACTGTCAATCACCTGTGGCATATACCAGCACACCACGATGTGTGGTATACAGGTGTATATCACATGTGTGTGGAGGAAAGTGTTTGACCATGTACACGGTAAGGTTTTTGACATATTTCATGCCATGACCCTCTAGATATGTTCATAAAACCCTCTTACCCTCCCATAATACTTTGGCTTGCCCCAAATTAAGTAGATGATCACGAGAGCACCAGGTGTAGATGGCTAGAAACATATATGGATAGATACGTAGGTTCAAAGCACTTGGAGTGTCTGCAGTTTGCTAAGGAATGCTATGCATTTAAATTTCTCTGAAAAGTATACATTTTGGAGCTTTCATCAAAAGACATTGAATGAGTTAAGCTGGTAGTCAAACCTGGCAAAGAGCAGCATTGTAAGATGAGAAGATTTATTATGATTGCTCAAAATACACTTCATTTATGTTAGATTGCAGAAGAATGAACTTTTTTTAAGGTTCTCAGCGGTTGAATACTGTTTTCCAGAAGTCTTCTAATAGTGGCCACGCTAATAGTGGTCAACATTAAGGTAGCTTCCTTATCTACAAAGTATTTTTCTATAGAATCTGTTAACTTTGAGTACCTCAGAGCCCTCGATCTACCACTTGGGTTTTACATATAATATTCTCTTTTTTCATGATTGGCACTACATTCATTTTCCTAATTTCCAACTAGAAACACCAAGCAACTGAAGTTAGGTCTTGGCTGATGATGTTGCACTGTTTGGTTAAAACAAAATACTGATGGAAGAACAATCTAGTAAAACACATCCTTTACAAAAAAATCATTTGCAGGAAGATGCAGAGACAAAGATGATCAGTTAAACAAGGAATGCCATAGCCTGATGTTTTGATAAGAAAATTTATCTACACTACGTTCCAACAAAGACAAGTTCTATTCTACGACTGCCCATTGGCTCAAGCCTCGAGGGTTTTCATAATCCGCGATAACTGACCACATGACCTGAATATTTATTCCACTTGTATAAATGTTTGTCTTTGTTACATTAGTAGCATGCATTTGGCTACCTAATAAAACTATGTATTCATATATTCCCTTTTGCATGGTCACATGACAAGAGTTAAAGAACCAACCTGAAAGCCAATTCTTGCTCAGTGTCCCTGCTTTTCATGTTCTGTCCACCCACTGCTCCATGTTCATCAGATTCTTCCGTGTTAAGGGCAGGCCCACTTTCTTCTTGGTGCAACTGACCATCTCTCAGCTGAGGAGAACCACCAGTACTGTAACTGAAGCTGACCTCTTCTTGGTTGAGCTGTGACAAGTGAAAGGCCGGCCACCAACCCTGCTTCGATTGCCATACGCCTGCATCCTGTATATGTCGTACAGTGCGTCAAGGCCGTCACTGGATGGGAAGCTGTTGTAGGATGATGAGATGGAGGGAGTTTGATCTCTTCGAACTACCCCATGAAACATTGTGTACGAAATCCAGGAAAGCAGCATTATGAACATGGACCACACATTTCGCAGCAACACCACACAGTTCCAGTTTCTGAAGATTGCTGTGCAGATTTGGTGAATGAAGTGGGTAATCAGACTAATGAGGCCTGATTCAACAATGTATACTGTCGATGGACCAGTTGCAACTGACTGAAAGAGAAAAGCATACAACTGATTGTTGAAGGTATCTTGACGGAGGAAACAGTAACATGAATATTTTAGATATTACAGCCATTTTAAAGTAATTCCTAAAGGTGTGTGAAGTCGAAAGTATTGCAATGACAGATTGATTGATTGGTAATTTACTTAGCTGCAAATTTCTAAGTACTAAGACAGAGAAATAAGAATGAATATAATGGGAACAACATTAATAATTAAGATCAGGGGTCAAACTAGAGAAAATTTTATTTTACTGTTCATTGTAAGTAATAAATCAAGCTGGCAAAATCATATAACATGTGGATCGACAATTGCCAACCTCTTTCAATAAAGTTATGGCAGAGAAAAAAGATTAATGAGGCTGGGCATAGTAGGGAACTGAAATGCTACATCAAAAAACATTTAGGATCGGCCCACGTCAGACAAAGGAAGATTAAAAATGGACATGCGCTTGACTCATAATGTTTCAGTATAGGCTATTACAAAGTCTTTATATTTAACATTCAATTAAAATTGAAAGTGACCAAGGGAAAAAATGTTTGTTGCTTAGTCTCTTACCTCATCATCTGCAAAGTAGATCCGAAGCGCACTAACCGCGCTTGAAAGAAGCACCGTAGAAAAGCACAGTAAGATCCGCTGGCCACGAGAGAAGCAAGAGCAGCTGTTCATTGTCACAACAGAGTGCCATAGGTGGTGCTCATTGAGTACACGCACAAACGTGCGCTGCAGTGCCTGCGGAAGAAGCCACCAAATGTTTCAAGACATAAGATATTTGCGCCACAGTGAATAACGTCGATGAAGTCTCTACGTGTAAAATAGTTTTGTTAACAAAGCATAGGCGACAAATTACAGTCGGATTTTAGCCCCACACCACATCGATAGATTTGATATCAGAGGCAGTTAGCAGTTGACTTTTTGAGACTTGCATGACAAGAACTGCACAGTGAGAAAGCAACAAAAACTCAACAAGTACTAACAAACAAAGTCTGCATCAGATTTACATGCTGCAATTTGTGCTGACAATGTTCATATACACCTCTGCGCAAGGAAAAACCCATTTGCATATTTGTGGCTTCCATATCTGAAATATTGACGCTCTCATACGCTAGTATGAGTGGGAAGAGCAGGAATTCTGCACCATATCTTTACTCGACTTATCCAAAACTGTGAGTGAATTCAGATAAATATTAATCCACCATGACAGGTTCATTCTGTGCCGCCACACAATGGTTTCATTAGCACACAGACATATACAGTCAAAGAAACACTTACTTAGTTAATATAATGCTGAGAAGCTTTAAAATATACAAACCCTGCCTAAACATTTTAGTGTGAAATGAAAACAACCTATTCAGGTTTGCTCCTCCACTAGATCAGTACCTACCATTAGCAAATGAGGACTGTGTCTTGAAGCAAATGCCTCCCTTTCGATTCTTCCATCCTCGCTGTTCACTGAAAACCACTCATTGAAAACGAAGTGCCAAGATTCTTCTGAAATGAGACAAATATGTGTGTGCAAAGCACAATTATATCCGACATCATCTACAGGTGCATATAAAAAATACAGAAAATTTCTGTCAATTCTCCCAGCAAGAAGAATTATAGCCAGTGAAGCACTTTATTGAATGAAGCACATGCATAGTAGCATGCTTGTAGCCTTTACTAAATTATTATAAAAGTGAATTTCCAAAACTACTAACAGTAAACACAAGTCAACATTAGCAGTCATTAGCTGTGGCGGTATTGCGTGAGTATATAACATACTATAAACAGCCTGCTGCAAAAAAAGTGATCGTACAATTTTATTCTTCCAGTGTACATATTTCATGTTGACTATGTATATGACTGTTTTCTTTGTTCTAGTTTATATCACTAGACTGCATTTTCAATAGTTCAATTGATAAATTTTCGTTTTTCGATTTAACTTCTTGTATAATGCCACTTAATACTATATAATGCTATATAGTTAAACTCTTTATAAGAGGCATGCCCCAGCAGCAATTCTTGTCCCCTGCTTATTAGGCGTCTCTTATAAGCAGAGGAACTCGTATGCATTTTCCCATCATCCCATATCTTTTTGTGGGCACATTGGTGTCTTTTATAACCATTTGTCTCTTATATCAGTGTCTCTTATAAGAGGTGTTTCATGGCCAGTGATTATTAAATGCAATCAATAGAGAATATTGTCGCGGGTTATAAATGACAGGGGGTTTACTTAAAAACACGAACAGTAGGACTTGTAGAGACGCTCTCAAAGAAGGCCGCTAAGATTGTCGTCTTCTTCACTCTGCTGCGCTGCGCCTCTCGGGCAAATCCGCGTTCTTCGTTGTCGTCGCTATCTCGCCGCTAAATGCAGCTATGCACGCGGCATTACCCTCCCGCCAGAGTGAGCGTCGTCCCGACGCTCAACAGGTAGAGATGCGGCCATCGAGTGTTTACATCACTGAGAGTGGTAAAGTTTCATGCGGACCACGTGCACTGTCTCAGGCAGATGCTGGCGACGTTTTGAACAGGAGGAGGCGTCGGGCACGACTTCGTACGTCACGTCGCTAAGACGACGCAGAACCTTGTAGGGTCCGAAGTATCGGCGTAGAAGTTTCTCTGAAAGGCCTCGTCGTCGTACAGGAAACCAAACCCAGACTCTATCTCCTGGTTGATAAACGACGAATCGATGGCGAAGGTTGTACCGTTGGGTGTCAAGTTGCTGCTGGTTCATTATTCTGACGCGGGCAAGCTGCCTTGCTTCTTCGGCGCGCTCAGTGAAGTCTGCAGCGTCTGTCTCTGAATCATTGCAATCGTAAGGCAGCATGGCGTCAAGCATTGTCGTAACTTCTCTGCCATGAATTAGTGCGAACGGCGTCATTTTTGTTGTTTCCTGGCGCGCCGTATTATACGCGAATGTGATGTACGGCAATATTCGGTCCCAATTCTTGTGTTCTACGTCGACGTACATGCAAAGCATGTCAGCGATTGTCTTGTTAAGTCTTTCTGTAAGCCCATTAGTTTGTGGGTGGTAAGCTGTCGTCTTCCTATGCGCTGTGCCACTGAGCGTAAACACAGTGCGCAAAAGCTCGGCTGTAAACGCGGTACCTTTGTCTGTTATGACGACAGCTGGAGCACCATGTCTCAGAACAATGTTCTCAATGAAGAACTGAGCCGCTTCAGCTGCAGTGCCACTCGCGATTGCCTTGGTCTCCGCGTATCGGGTGAGGTAGTCCGTCGCCACTATAACCCATTTGTTGCCGCTGTCCGATGTTGGGAATGGGCCCAGCATATCCATTCCGATTTGAGAAAACGGGGTTTCTGGCACAGGCACAGGATGTAATAGCCCAGCGGGTTTGACAGGTGGTACCTTGCGCTGCTGACCGATCCGACAGAACCCTTATCGCGTCGCTCAGAAAGAACGTGAGGTAATCCAGCAGCAAGTCAAGAAGATGCTAGAGGATGACGTTATCCAACCATCAAAAAGTCCTTGGGCATCGCCAGTGGTACTCCTGAAAAAGAAAGACGGCAGCTTGCGTTTCTGCATCGATTATCGTAAGCTGAACCATGTTACAAAAAAAGACGTTTATCCATTACCACGGATCGATGACTCTTTGGACAGGCTACGGCATGCACGCTACTTCTCGTCAGTGGACCTTAAAAGTGGATACTGGCAAATAGAAGTAGATGAGCGCGACCGAGAAAACACCGCCTTCGTGACGCCAGACGGGCTTTATGAATTCAAAGTCCTCCCTTTCGGTCTATGCTCAGCCCCAGCCACGTTTCAGAGACTAATGGATACCATTCTGTCCGGCCAGAAATGGAAAACATGCCTTGTGTACCTCGACGACGTGATCGTTTTTTCGGCCACGCTTGAAGAGCATCTAAAGCGGCTACTGTCAGTCCTTCAAGCCATACGGTCCGCTGGACTCACACTCAAACCGGGAAAATGTCACTTCGGCTTCGAAGAACTCCAGTTCCTGGGACACGTGATCAGTCGCGAAGGTGTGAAGCCTGACCCAGATAAAACAGCAGCCGTCGCAAAGTTCGCAAGGCCTGTTGATAAGAAAGCGGTCAGGCATTCTCTGGGTCTCTGCGCCTACTACCGGCGATTTATAGCAGGCTTTGCACACATCGCCTCTCCACTCACCCGCTTTACAAGGGAGCAACACTTCAGACAACCACCCCTACTCAAGAAATGGCAAGGAGTCCTGCACAGGTGACGGTCCAGAATATGCGCATTCCTGAACCATTTCATGGCCGGCCGAACGAAGATGCACAAGACTGGCTTGAGCAGTTCGAACGGGTAGCTAAATCGAACTACTGGAGTCTCGATGGAAAGCTCTTCCACGTATACTTCGCCCTTGAAGACGGTGCGAAGACATGGTTTATCAACCGGGAGGCAACATTGACGACATGGGAGGAGTTTCGTCGTCGGTTTCTTGACACCTTCGGTAACGCGAACCGACGCGAAAACGCACAACACCTTCTTGAAGGACGCACCCAACAGCTGCATGAAAGCGTCGCCATGTTTGCTGAGGATATGGTGCGCCTGTGCCACCGCGCGGACCCCAACATGCCCGAGGCTCGAAAGCTAACCAATCTCATGAGGGGCGTCAAAGAGCAGCTATTTGTTGGTCTTGTGCGCAATCCGCCGACAACAGTGGACGAGTTCACCAGGGAGGCCACCGCAATAGAGCATGCGCTACAGCAACGGTACCGACAGTCTGATCGCCCGGCCACCGGCGCAGCTGCAGGCGCCGCCGCACTTACCGCAAACGACGAGTTTGCTCTACGCCACCTGATTAGACAGATCGTGCGTGAGGAGATCGCGAAGGAGAACGCAAAATACACATTGCAGTCACAGGCGCCCCCGCAGCAGGAGTCCACGGTAGCCTCCGTCGCTGAAATAGTTCGCCATGAACTTCGACAAGCGTTTGCCTCTCCTCAGCAATATTCCGCTCCACCGCACCGTCCAAACTCGCATACCTATGCAGATGCTGTACGTCGTCCATTGGCTCCAGAAGTATCGTGCCAGCCGAACGGATACAGCTATGCACGCGGCAATATATGTACTGATATTAAGGCAGTTGGCCGTTATACATTGTCAGGCATGGCAGAACTTCAGGAGAAGAATCTTGAAACAATAAAATATTGAACAGAATTCATTCATGGCCTAGTTGGTACTCTTTATATATTGAGCTGCTACTAAAAACACACACATAAAAAGAGACACGAACACGACAACATGGGCGGCACTTGCAGCTGATCTATTTCAAGCATGAAACAGAGAGATATAAAATTAACTCACACATGCACAGAGTAGCCAGCACTGCCTAACCTACCCATTTCTTAAACAATCTTATCTCAGAATACCGCAGCTGTATTGAACAGTCACTAATACATTCATCACCAAACTTGTTGATATAAAAGGTTTCCAGTAAGTTACATGCTGTCAGTTGGAAGTGTCACCTATGTTGTTGTGTTTATGTCTCTGTTTTTTGAGCATTTTTTTAAATTAGTGGGGAAATACCATACAGTAAAAGTATTGAGCAAGGGGCATCACTGAAGCCAATGCTTTGGCAAGCAGACTTGTCTTTGTCAAAGACCACAACTGCTTGCTTTAGAACCGTCTATATGCATCTCAGAATAACAGAGAGATGAGCTAGTTGGTGAGTATTCATTCTCAAAGACAGGGCAAGCAAGCTCAGACATAAGAAAGAAGCCACAACAATACAAACAACAGCTTTTATGCGGTCATCACTTTTTTTGTGTCCATCCTGTAGAGTGTACCTGCATGCATCCCTCTACACATAAACGATGCTCTTCATCTCCTTCTGTCACTTGGGGAGAGAGATGAAGGCATGCACATTTGCGACATTAAGAAAAGCAGTGGTGGCCTTGACAATGACAAGTTTTATTGTTGAAGTATTGGCTCCAGCAACACCCACTGTTAATAGGCTTGATCGCAGGGGGCGAGGGGCACATTTGAAAGTTCTACATTGTTGGATAATGTTGACTTTATGAAATGCATGTCCTCATCCTGTTCGTCTTGTGCTGAGTACTGGTTGCAACAACAATCCGTTACGCATCTTTTCAAACCATCCATAGAGGCACAGTAGGGTGTAATCAATAAATCAATACAAAAATTTATTTCTAATATGGCAGTGTCTCCCAATATCAGTGGCTATGAGGAACTAATTCATCACATCTCCTCAAAGCAGAGTGCACTGCCCATATGTAGCACTTGATTATTCCTAAGCTGAACAAACGAGGTGATGGGGTGAGCATGAATCAACAGATGACTTAAAGCGTAGTAATATTCAATAGTAAAGAGAGTTCTTCTCAAGGTGGATAAAGGGAGCGTGGCAGTTTACTGTAGCTTCATACTCCTTACAGGAAGATATCATTTTTCATTTCTTGAGCTTCTTGAATCTTATATAAGAATTCATGTGCCCATACTGAGGCAATAAAGCTTGATACTTCACATATAAATAAGTATGATTACATTGCAGTGTCGGTACATAAAGTAGGAGATGGTATCCCTTACGTGTATTCCAGTGAACCGCAGTGATATCCTCCAAGAACCAAGATGGAAATTCTCCAGAGTTGTCATGCCAGACTTCCACACTCACAAGATTTCCCAGCGTGAAGTCTGTGCTGAAGAAGCCAAACAACAAAATTGCGATAAGTTGAGCCTCAACGACATGAAAACTTGTCTGAATGTAAGTGCTACAACCAACTCCTATTTCAAACATCGAAAGAGATTTTAGATTTTGATGACAACGTCCTCCTCACTGATTTTGTGTGGTGTTCACGTATGCGGCATGGTTACCTTGTAACCATTTACAGAAATGCATATTGTATGAACATAAAAATGATCTCCAATTATTCCTCTCTGTTTTGAGAAACTGTAGTAAAAATCATATTTTCACTTCAACAAGTAGCAAATTATAATGCTATACGAAGTAAGCCTGGCAGCCAACTCTTTTAGATTCAGTCTTGTGTAATTAACTCTATACACTGGTGTAAGAGAATGCCGGTGTAAGAGAATATAGCAACCTCAGGGAGAGGCAACTTTTTCACAGTCTCTTCACATTGAAGGCACAGCACACAGAAAGCTATAAAAGACATCTGCTAATGCCTGCATGCTGAGATAATGCACATGCCAGCGACTGTGACCGGGCTCTTACAAGGTTCACAGTTGCTCCTAGAGTGATACCCTCTCTACTGTTTTGTACCTTCATGCTCCTTCAAGACAGACAACGCATTTCCTCTCTCTCAGAGCAGCAATCAACAGCAAGCATCACATGTGGAGCAATGTTATTGCATGCACCTTATGATTGATGAAGATGAATTAGTTCATTTGAACTCTGCTTCAGCAGCATTCGACACCCCTGCTCATGCACTATACACTCGGGTAAAAAATACGATGTGTTGGGGGATGTTAGCGATTTGGACTTGATGTGGAACATGACAGCGATGGTGACACCACGACAGCAAAAACTTATTGACAGTGTCTATATAGTAGTTGCTATTGCAATAATAGCAAGTAACTAACATTGTGAAAAAAACATAATTGGCCATGGGGATTTTCCATCGACCAAATACAATGCCTTATGTTAGATGACACTACGTAAGTGCTCGAGTTCAGGAGCAGTTAGGTGTGTGCTGCAAAAAAAAAGTGGGACCAACTCAAAATGCTGTCATTGAATGCCAGAATATTCACGGAATGGAAATATTTATGATCAAATAGGTTAAAAGTTTAGAATATTGGTGGAAAAAAGTATAGAAAAGCTTATTAAGAAGGATTCATTCTGGGCATAGGTAATAACACATTTACAAACACAGAAGCTTGTATATACCAATTACTGGTATGTATACCAGTGCTGGAAGAATCATAAATCTGTCATGTTCTTGTGTTTCAATGTTGATGCACCTGTTTAAATGTTGATGCTCCAAAAAATCACAAAAAAATTGTCAGTGTTTTGACCCAATGTATTCTAAAAAAACGCCAGGCCTGCGTGCAAGGTGCAGCACATTCATAGCAAAAGCTAGAAGACCGGCCTCTCAGAGCATTTTAAAAACACTCATTGGATAACTACTGCAAGCACACTTGCATGATACCCACTAGGGCTTCAATAATAAATTTTTTTTAATAGTAGGCTGGCATTTGCTATGCAATTTTTCGTCATTCTTCTGAGAGGCGTGGTATCCGCTAAATACTTCCAAAGAATTTCTGCCAATTGTTCATGCAGTGGCTGACAACGATTAGGAATTATGGCTGAAGTGGGTATGCATCACAGTTAATAGGAGAAAAAGAATGCCGAAAATTCAAAACTCAGAGGAAAAATCTACTAGAAGAACCCCTACGAAAGTTGGGCTTGAATTTGACACTTCCGTTGATTCTTTCATTTGGCGCAGTTGCATTTGGATTCAGCCACAGGAGCGTTTTTACTTCTGTTACAAATTTCTTACGAGAATCTAAAAGAATGGAATGCTAAAAATAAGTAACTTCAGTTGTTTTATGTATAATCTTTCTTTTTTTGTGTGTTTATTATGTTTTCTTTTCAAGGTTTTTTTGTTTAGAAATTTAACACCTTTTTATTATTACCTATATTACCTAATTAATCCAACCCTCTTTTCAAGAAGCGAATTAAATTAAAAAGCAAGGCATCGTCCCATTCATGGCCTATCCCCCTAGGTGGGTTGCGCCAAGGTGTTGAAGAAGCAACCAAACAACAAGCTTTTGTAATAATTGGAGCATTGGACAGCCCACTCGTTACGGCATTTGCCTTGTGCGATGAGTCGTTGTTCTTTCGCTGTTTTAAAACGCTTTATAAGTCGTATTAGTGTGTCACGGACGGCTATTTTTGGCGACACCGCGTCACGGCAATTAACGGGCGCCGTACTCCCCGACTGACCGTGAGAAACGGCAGCGCATGAAAGGGAGCCGATAAGTGCAAAATGGGGTGCTCGTCTTAGAACGTCGCCGCCGACGGTTAATCCTTTTGTAACTGTGGCGGCGTCTGCAAGGTCGTCGAAGGCCGCGGTATACCCCGAACAAGGATTAGACTACGAGACAAACCAGCTGAGAGCCAAACGTTTGACCGTTCCCACGGGGAAAAGCGTGGGAACGCTCTGGTGGCCAAGCCGTATGACAACAACCCGACAGGTTGTCACTCTCGCTAGTTGAGGCCCCTCTCCCAATTAAAAAAGGGGTGGGGTCAAAATATTTTTGGGGCGGAGTTTCCCCTCAATTAAACGCGCATGATTGGACCCGTGTAGAGGTCTCTTGTCCCCAAGAAAGAGAGCGAGGAGACACAAGGGGGATTTAAGCGCAGGATTTTGCACTGCTAGGCAGACTAGTCGCTGACCAAGATGGTGTAGAAACAGATCAACAAGCATCTCTTCTAGAAGTTTTTAGTGTGGCTCTGTATCGGCTGGCCACCTAAACATAGCCGTTCGTCTAGTTGTCACGCGATATTAACGTCTGCAACGTAGACATCGGGACTTCGCTTCGAGTTAGCTCAACCTGCTCGAAGTCGCGTGCAAGCACTAGCCTCCCGGAGCCACCAGCGTTGCAACACCGCCGACATCGCAGTCGTGCCAGAACTCTCTTCGACTTCTCGCTTCCGATCGTCGGGGACGCAACGCTGCCGGTCATCACACGTATGCCTTCACCTGTTTATATCTTCGAACTTTCTACTCCGTAGTCTATTGGTGTTAGTTTGTGTAGTTGTAATAGTTCTCTCTCGTAAGCTGATTTATTGTTTCTGTTATATATTTCTTTAGTTGTATCAAGTGTCGATGTATTTTGTTAGTTGTATTGAAGTGTTGTATTAGATCCCGTGTGCTGCAATATCACTAGAGTAAAGTTTGTTTTGTTTTCCAACGTCTCTGATCTCTTTACTGTCTCTGCTTGCGTACGGAACGAACCAACCTGCTGTCATTCCCGTCGCCGACTTCGCGCTGGCGACGCTAGAGTGGCAGCTTGTAACAAAACTGGCGTCCGCGACAGGACGTTCCGTACAAGAGTAAGACAGTGAGGGGTGAACGAGAACCATGTGGATAGCGTGGTAATAGAGCCGCACAGTTGAAGCTGTTGCATCCTGCATATGATTGCGCTGTTTCTATAGTGGCATTATAGTGACAGTTGCAGTATGGAGTGTATGGATTTCGATAAGTGGATCGCGTACGGTAAACAGTTAGGCCTCGAGGGCGCCGAACTGAGACAATGTGTTAAGGAGCAGCAGGAACAGGCGCAGGCGTTAGCCAGAGAAAAGCGGGCGCTGGCCCGGGAAGAAAGGGAGAGAGAGCGCGAAGAAAGGGCGAAAGAACGAGAAGCGGCAAGGAAAGCGGCAAGGGAAGCCGGAGAACGGGAAGTGCAGTTACTGCAATTAAAGCTTCGCCTCAGTGAGGGTAGCAGAGTGAGCCGACCCAGCAGTGAGCACGGCGATGCCGGCGAGAAACTGTCATTTGAGCGAGACACATGGTGCCAAGGGCTACTCACGGTTCTGCCTTGCGAGGCAAATGAAGCTGTTGCGCGACTCAGTCAGCAGAACGCGAACAACTACGATGTAGTCAAGGCAGAGATGTTCCGGACATTCGGAACTTCGGTCTCGACAAAAGAAGAGCAGCTCAGACAAGAGTCTGAAAGAAAGCGCGAAACAGAAAGACAGCAGTCTGAAAGCGAGGCGCGTCGGAAAGCGCTGGACGTTAAAGTGCGGCAGGAAGCGCTAGAACCAGAGATCGCGCCAGAAAAGGGCCCGCGTATTCTAGAATGCATCAAGGTAGAGTATGCCGAGAATGAGGCCTTGGCCGGTCTGGAGGTAGAGACGATGTCGAAAGACGCTCCTTGCGTGGATGAGGAGAGTGCCAGCAGCCCTAATGGGCCCAATAAGATGCTGGAAACCTCCTTCGTGCCTCAAGAGTACGTTTCGACATCGTCAAATGTAGGCATGATTAGCACAGTGGCTAAACACAGCGAGAACGCGACGCTTCAGGAGTGCAGCGATGCCATCGGAGAGGGCCCAGTTAATGATTTCATCAGCATTAACAAAGATAATTTGGCCCGGCAGTTCGTCGTGACACCGAGTTCAAAATGTTTGAGCGTGGGGCAAAATGTAGCACAAGCTCCAACGAGCTTCCCAACCACTCAGTTCCCGACGCGACATGATGATGGCATTGAGAGAAAGGGGGCAAGCAAACATCGCAGGAAAAGGAAGAAGCGGAGGCGTTCGGTTTTTCGTGAGCCTAGGGCAGGTCCCACTCCTTCCCAACAAAGACGACAGGCTAGGCCATGCATCCGTTTCAAGAAACGTCAATGGTGGCGTTCATGGAGACACAAGCGGCGAGCCAGGTGTAGAGGGGGAAAAGGAGGTGCGTCACCCGAACGAAACACGCAGTTCATTTCGACGACTTCGGGAAAGCGGCCTTGCCCGAAGGTTCAAAGTCGAAAAGGCACAACGGCTAAGTGCTGCGTGGGGGCAACCACAACGACACTATTACCCAGGCTTCCCCCCTGTTTCCGGCGTCCCTTGCACATTCCTGAGGGGAGCCGGCTGAAATGCAGAATGAGGCGTGACAGCAGGACACAGCCTGGCGTTCGTGCTTTTTGTAACCTCTGGCGTGCTCGAAAGCCGCCGGGAACGTGACCCCATCGTGTGCGATTCAGGCTAATCTAATTGAGAAAAGGGGGGCGGTCAGTTTGAAGATTTGTTGCACGTGGTTACTTAGTTGTTGTTGCACGTGGTTACTTTGCAGATGGAGACTTCAGTCATAATTTTTGCAAGTTACGTAATGCGGTGTAAATTGTTCAGAAGGAAAACCGCCGAGCCAAAGGCTGAAAGTTAGCATTGAATTAGTTTAATCATGAGTGCGAAAATTCGCATAAGGTAAAAACCGAGAAAAGGTGTCATTTTTCTAAATTTTTCAAAGGTTTAGTGTGGCATCGTATGCCTCCACTGCCATGGGGATGTGGCATGAATGAGCATTTGAGGAAGTTGTTAGCATAAACCGAATGATTTCGTAAATTGATTAAGATTGGCGTGACCCGGTACAGTTGTCGTTGCGCGCATTGAGAATTGAGGTCTATGAGCATGTTATTTTTTTTCCTTTCGTTGGTTGTTTTCCGTTTGTATGTGCGTATTTCATTGTATAAGAAGTGTATTTTGAGTTATTTTCTTTTTGCTTAGTGCATTGGTTGTTCTACTTGTTGTAATGCACATTGAAAGATTGCCCTACAGTTGAGGAGCGCACCTGTTCCATTTTGTTTCGTAGTATACATTCGTGCAGTGTATTCTGTATTGATGGCTGCCGTACAAGGCTATTTCCTCTTCTTGTTTGTATGGCGCATTGATATTGTTGCGTGTAAATGAAGCTGGTACTCTAACCATTGTTTGTTTTTCCTTTTGTTGTTACTTTGATGCACTCTGCCTATTTATGTTCTGTATGAGAGGGACAGTCCTCATGCCTCCCTTGTTGGTGGTGTTTTGTTCCTTGTTGTCGAAAAAATTCCCCTCCGTGCGAACAAATGTTATGAATAACATTCTGAAAGTGGGGGGCAATGTCATGGACGGCTATTTTTGGCGACACCGTGTCACGGCAATTAACGAGCGCCGTACTCCCCGACTGACCATGAGAAACGGCGGCGCATGAAAGGGAGCCGATAAGTGCAAAATGGGGTGCTCGTCTTAGAACGTCGCCGCCGACGGTTAATATTTTTGTAACTGTGGCGGCGTCTGCAAGGTCGTCGAAGGCCGCGGTATACCCCGAACAAGGATTAGACTACGAGACACACCAGCTGAGAGCCAAACGTTTGACCGTTCCCACGGGGAAAAGCGTGGGAAACGCTCTGGTGGCCAAGCCGTATGACAACAACCCGACAGGTTGTCACTCTCGCTAGTTGAGGCCCCTCTCCCAATTAAAAAAGGGGTGGGGTCAAAATATTTTTGGGGCGGAGTTTCCCCTCAATTAAACGTGCATGATTGGACCCGTGTAGAGGTCTCTTGTCCCCAAGAAAGAGAGCGAGGAGACACAAGGGGGATTTAAGCGCAGGATTTTGCACTGCTAGGCAGACTAGTCGCTGACCAAGATGGTGTAGGAACAGATCAACAAGCATCTCTTCTAGAAGTTTTTAGTGTGGCTCTGTATCGGCTGGCCACCTAAACATAGCCGTTTGTCTAGTTGTGATGCGATATTAACGTCTGCAACGTAGACATCGGGACTTCGCCTCGAGTTAGCTCAACCTGCTCGAAGTCGCCTGCAAGCACTAGCCTCCCGGAGCCACCAGCGTTGCAACACCGCCGACATCGCAGTCGTGCCAGAACTCTCTTCGACTTCTCGCTTCCGATCGTCGGGGACGCAACGCTGCCGGTCATCACACGTATGCCTTCACCTGTTTATATCTTCGAACTTTCTACTCCATAGTCTATTGGTGTTAGTTTGTGTAGTTGTAATAGTTCTCTCACGTAAGCTGATTTATTGTTTCTGTTATATATTTCTTTAGTTGTATCAAGTGTCGATGTATTTTGTTAGCTGTATTGAAGTGTTGTATTAGATCCCGTGTGCTGCAATATCACTAGAGTAAAGTTTGTTTTGTTTTCCCACATCTCTGATCTCTTTACTGTCTCTGCTTGCGTACGGAACGAACCAACCTGCTGTCATTCCCGTCGCCGACTTCGCGCTGGCGACGCTAGAGTGGCAGCTTGTAACATAATGGGATTGCTTTCATGACATCAAGCCTCCCTAAGGCAAGTTTGCCAACAAGTCACAAGCACCGGCTTAGCTCAGTGGTAGAATACTGGGCTGGCACCCAGGGGACCCGGATTTGAGCTCTTTGTGTCATTAGTGCAAGGTTTTTTTTTTTTTCTAAATTTGCGTGATATGGTTACGGACACCGGTGGCGGTGGCGGCAGCGACGAACAACTGCGCGTGACCCGAGTTGTGATCTTATAACGATGTTTGCTCTAAAAACAAAAGTGTGCAATTCATTGCTTTATGCAGTATATAAGAACTGCTCTCCTTTTTTTTTTGCCAGTTCTTACGGCAGCCCCATACAGCACAGTTGTCATGTGAATTGAGCAAAGTTTCAGGTGTTTTTAAATGTGAAAATGGTGCTCCTCTCTTACCCAGCCAAGAAGGCAACTGTGGAACATCTCCGAAAAACTGGGCAGCTGTCGGCAAGCCTTATGACTTCTGAATCTCCTGCCTCTCCATGAAGTATGACTGACACCTGAATAATAATTGTGTCAATTGATGTGACTTCATACTCTATAAAGTCCTATAGCATTTCGTGTTCATACATTATTATTACCACAGGCAATGCTATACCGTGGAAATATATACTAGAATGTGTAAAACTTACTGTAAAGCTAGCAAGTTGTCTGTGACAAAAATTTTCAAAAAGTTTAGTTTCGGTTTATTACAGTTGTTTTAGTACTATAACTTCAGTTACACATGTTTGTTAATTAGGTACTATATAAAAGCACTCTGAGATGGGAAGCCTATGGAAAGGAATTGTTTCGATAAAATGAGAAATGTGCATAAAATAAATTGTTTATCAGGCATGACTAGCTTTGCTGCATCACAGTTAAACTAAGTAATTTCAGTTGAAACACCACGACAAATTTCAAGACCTCATGAATGAAAAAATGCTTCCATTTAAACAAGTCCTGATAATAAAAATGTGCCTTCAAATGTTCGTTTCTTATTTTTGCCAGCTTATATTGACACATGCCCTGATGACAATACTTTAAGACCTCTTCTGAAAGATCCTACTTTTTTATTTCTTTTTTCTACGTAGCAGTTTTCATCCTCAAATGCAAGAAACCAAAGCTGTGCATACCGCTGCTGACGTTCCCGCATTAGGTAAGGCCCAGTTCGCACGGTGATCAAGTACAGGTGCCGTGCAGTCCGTCGTGCCGTCTTCAGTGAAAATACGTGCACTTCTTTTCTTGAACCATCAACACCACAGCATAACCAGCCCGATGCGAGGGCGTAAGCTGCTGCAGTCACCATCAAGAATAATATAACGAGCCAGTTGATCTCTTTCCCAATTATCTTGTGCACCGGCAGTTCTTGGAGCTGTGTTTCGAGAGCATGCCAGATCCCTGATATGATGGGGCGTCCACCTTTGCATCTGCAACAGATACAAAACAGCATATGGAAAGGCAGTGACACTCTGACATGAATGACTTGGTACATGTCATATTTTCTGTGCATAAGCTGCACTAAATACACAGGAAATTCAGAGCTAAAGTTGGGGAGTTGGCTATGTGCGAATTTTCAGTGAGCAACTTTACTTAATAGCACTGCTTCACCAGTAATGCAGGGCTTGACAACATTACACAAAACAAGTTAAACTTGTTATTTTCCTCAGTTTGCAGTAGATGTAACAGTCCATATGCAAGGGTGAGTTAAACATGAAAAATTATGTTATTTACTTAAATGCAGTGAGACTTGGATACAAAAAATACACCATCACCCACTAAAGAGAACCACATGTAGATGCGAAGCACCTGCTGCTAATGCTTACTGGCTTGACACCGGTGCTCATCGCGGCATTGTGCAGGAGAGAAACCTGGGGAGGTGAAAAGCACGCAGTGATCGACTGGTTTTTCCTACTGGAGCATGCTAATCCCTGCTAATGGGCAATGAAAGACAGAAGACTTCAATTGGACACAGAGAGCTGCAGTCCACTTTTAGTTAATGCACATGCTGTGAATTTATATTGTTCAACAACCCACAGAAAAAAATCTCCCACTGGCACAACCTTGGAGGTCGAGATCCAGTGCCTGTATACAAGGGGTCACCAGTGAATGGTTGTGCAGTGCGAGCAGTCAATTTTTCTAAATCAAGAAGCTCACGAGCATAAACTGCTAGCGTCGGTGGTGCGAGGTGAGAGAGGGAGAGCGTAAGAGAGGGGGAGGAAACATGAATGCGCAATGGGGGTGTAAATGTCATGTGGAGGGATGCTTAGAGCAGAGAGAGGCGGGAGGTAGTATAGTAGGCAAGCAGTTGCTGCCAGTGTCGCCGTTCCAAGGTGAGAGAAGAGGGAGCGTAGGAGAGCTACCTCATCAACCCAAACAAGGGTTGTGTCATTTAAACACTATCATAAATTTATACATTCCTTTTTTTTCTTTGAACTCACACTGAAGCCCGGGTTTCCCTACCACAAGGTCTACTTCAAAGTGGGAAAGCAATCACACTTTGTCCCCTTTCTCTTCTTTCTTGCTCAAGCCCTATGTTTTCATTACAGTATAAATAATTATTTAAGAAGAACTTTTTACTGGGTGAGTTGGTGCATGTCTGTGGTATGTAACGTTGCACATACAATCGGACGAACACAGGAACTAAAGAAGCGTAAATGAAAGAGCGCAATCCGTTGTGCTCTTGTATGTGCAAAGTTACATACCACATAAATAATTATGATAGCCCCAATACGAAAAAAAGAAACTAGTGAAAGTGAAAGGCAAATTCTACTTAGCTATCAGTTAAAGAACTCACAGCAGCATCAGATATGCCACACTTTACCAGTTTAGTTAAACTGACTGCTGTTCATTCATTTTGCATAGGTTACCAGCAGTGTTGCTATCTTATTGTAAAGCTGGAAGCACCGAGGGACTACTTGAGCCTGAGTTTTCATCAATGCTACTGGTCTCCTCTGTTCTCATCACATATGCCCAATATTATTTCATGACGAGAGGTTTCCGATTCAGTTTTATCTCTACTACAGATATCTTTACAACAAAGCACTGAAAAGCATCAACACTTGATGCAGGATGTCGGCCCACTACAGCCTGACCAAATGATACTATGTGTGACACAGTAACAGAGAGGAACACATCATTCTTAGCCACCAGTGATAATCTCAGACTCACTGGCAATGCCACAGAAACAACCTAAGAAAGCTCCACCTTATAGAGTCTGTGCGCATAAACTCACTCAATTGAACTCACTTTAATTCACCATTTGCTACAGTCGACACTGGAATCTTTTACAACTTTTGCTTTTTACAGTTCATCATGTTCCAACTTCAAGTTTTCATCACTTAAATATTCTTTTCTACTGGTGTTCAGGTTTCGCAAGCTTGCAATATACAGAAGAAATGCCTTTGATTGGGACCCAAGCCCGTATACACAAATCAACCTCACCTTTACCTCGAGTTGTTCTTATCAGTTTTAAGCATTTAATGTAACTGATGAACAATTATAGCCAGCATTGATGAACCAATCTTGCTGTTATCTTTTACCCTGTAACCAGTCTTGTGCCTTTGTAGCACATGTAGAGAGCACAGAAACTTGACGAAAATGTGAGCTAGGTAAGGACCAGGTTGGTTTGTGAACACGGGTCCTCAGCATCACAAATAACCTGTGTGACTGCCTCTATATCACCTAACAACCTGATAAAATAAACTAAAATGAGGTGAAGGATAGCTTTGGATGTTATTAAAATTGATACGTATATGCATGATTGTGATATGCATGGAATTTGCAGCAAAAGAACATACTTGCATTCGATGGAATATGCATTTGTTGCGCCAGTCACAGAGCAGCTGTGCATGTTCCACTCATTGTTTTCCGGGTGGAACTGCAAGCACTGCTGCCCAAAGCCTTGCAGTTGATATGTCAAGCTTGAAGAACCATAAGTTAACTTCCAATTGCCAATGCGTTCTGGTATTTGCACAACAGTTAGATGGCAATCCTTGCAGTCTACAAGAAATAATGCAGAAGGATTAGCACAATGAATCAATGAATAAATTAATCAGTTGATCATTGCCACGAAGCATAGGTTGGTAGGTGGGTGTAGCTTAATTTTTATTTATAGAGTTAATTATTGCTTCTGAAATTTTAGGTCATTTAAAACTTTAGGACTCCTCATTCATTTAGGCGAAAAAGGGGAACAATTTCTATCACATCTATCAGGAGCTGTATCCACTGGCACAATTAATTTGGGAAATTATCATGTGATCAAGCAAATGTATGAAGTTGCCATGACATGTTTGGAGACTCACCTTTCAAAGCTGCCTTGTTAACATAAAGGTCTGTCATAAGAGACATTCGATGAACTGTGATTCCATGGGATGAGCCCAGCTGTTCAGTGCCATCACTGCCAGACAACAAAACGACAGAGTTAGATTAGGTTAGAAGGCACGCACTTGACTTCGCACATGGTTAGTAATCAGGCTCATGCTTAAGAGTGGAAACTCTTTCACTGTGCAGATAGTCGATGATGCTGCATCCGGAGCAACACACCTGAAACTTTGCTCACCTAAAGAGAAAAAGGTTGAGACAAACCTTCAGGCAGGATGCCCCGAAGCAATTACATCTTTCCATGTACGAGGGCAAGAGGTGAAAGAAAGCAGATGCGTAATCTGTCCACCATGGGAGTCAGCTTAAGCAGACCTTACGGTAGTTGGTGACACAGAATGATCCAATGTGGTACGAGATGGGACATACTGTTTCTTTAAACATTATCCAGTAGGACTACAGTGTAATTTCATATCACGGCATATAAATGTACAGACACATAAAAATAACATCATCATGACATGTGAATGCCCATCCTAAAGCAGTCAGCTTTGTCTCACTGAAACTCAACTTGTGCTTTAGCAAATAAGCTTGCGCATGAATGACATGCGATGGAACAGGAACAGGACAATAAACACACAGGATGCAGTGCTGAGAAGGATGCACCTCATAAGCTCACGTATCATGAATGACACGCAAGAAACAGCACTACACCCTGTGTGTTCACTTCCCCATTTCCCTGTTGTTGTTTTTTTTGTGCTGTTCAGTTACAGTGTTCAGAAACCAAGTAGCCTTGCCTAAAAACCCTTGTGTATGACCGCTCGCTAAGTAGACTTACTTTTCTAAGCGTAAAATTTAAAGCTTTGTGGTCAGTTTGATGACTAGCTACTTCTAGTGGGCTGACTAAAGAGTGAAGCACAGCTCAGTATAGGTGACTCTGCACTGTTGTGCAGTTCGATTTTCCACACTTAAACAACAGTAAGAAAAAAGAATAAAAAAACCTGGAAAACAAGCTTTATTTTTATACACTTTAAGTGATTCTGACTACTTGATAAAATGCAAAAGTGTTCAGTAAAAGCAGATTTAATAGAAAAAAAAAGTTTACACTGAGTTGACTGTGGTCTTCATAGCACATTGTCATCCGATACCAGTTCAGGGTCACTTGAGCTGGAAGAGTATGCACTGTCACAATTATCATGTTTTGTTAGCTCTGAAGTGCACAGCTGTAGTTTAAAAAATGGCAGCATATCTACAGGGTGAACGATGGAGAGTAGGGTGAAGCATCCGTCCGTTCCATTTGTTCTTGCTTCCGTCTGTCCATGCGTCCGTCTGTGTGACCGTCCGTGCATCCATCTGCCTGGCCAAGTGTGTGTATGTTTGTGCAGTCCGCACAGTCCATCTGTGCATCCGTCCCTGAGTTCGTCCATGCATTTCGCCCCTGCGTCCATCCGTGCGTCCTATCTGTCGTGCAGCCATCTGTGCGTCCATCTATGCATCTGTCTGTGTGTCCGTTCATCCATCTATTCAACACTCCAAGTACCACCATCTCGCATCTTTTCATCATATATTCCCTCATATAGAAGCACCACCATCCAGCAGACATTCCAAGGACTAAACGAGAGGTGGACATACGCACACTTTTCTACGGCTTGCGCTTTGTGTCTACTTCCCAGCTTTACCAACTTCGAGTTCATGGTGTATGCTAGTTCACTGTATTATGGCACTGCGGCCCAACGCTCGCTAAATCTTTCTAAAGCCAAGGAGTTTACACCCAGCGAGTATAACGTAGCAACCCTATCTTGTCAGAGAGAGCTCACTGTACATGCCAATGACTGCTAATGGGGAACGAGAGACAGGAGAATTCTACTTTTAGTCAACGCTCACGCTGCAAACTTTTCTTGTTCAACAAGGCACAGGAGAAATCTCCCACCGGCACCACCTTGCAGGTCAGAACGTAAGACTGGTTACGCACTACGACGAGGGACAAACGGGTGTCGCTTTAAGGAGCTTCGCCCCGAAAAAGGAAGTTTACAGAGAAATATATTTTTCTGCACTGTAACGACAGCATGACTTTAGTATACATAAAGAAACTTACAGTTGCTCCTGGTGGTGGTGAGCTACCGTGTGTGTGCTGAACTTGCAGCAAAAGAGGGTGAGATTTCACATTAACCATAGTTCAGTTAATTTTAAGCACAACTCATAGCACACACTCATACTATGAACAGTGTGCCGTTTTGAAAAACTGCCAGCAACAGAGCACAGAGTATGTGCTCTCAACTTGTACTTCAGCAGCTCCTTGCGAGAATTGCTGATACCGTAATTTTTAGCAAAGTGAAGAATGTAATATTCACTCAAGCCTGATATAAATAAATTGAACAAAAGCACTTTGATGCATAGATGTATCTAAGTTAAAATGACACCACTGAACGACACTTCAAACTGACAAACATGCCAACTGGAACGTTGACGCAGACATGTTTGCCAAGGCACTAGTCCCCAGCACATGTGTAGTGATCAATGGTCAAATGCACACAGCTTGTGCATGAGTGCACGAGTGATTCTGAAACAAAACGTTCATTTAGACTGTTTCTTGAAGCAAGATTTGAAGTGCCGGCAACACACCTGAAACTTTGCTCACCTGCGTTTAAAGTCCAGGTTGAGACAAAGTTCCGGGCACACCGCAGACACTTACTTGATGGCTAGCAGCTTGTCCACAATTATCCCGTGAGAGATTTCAGTGTTTTTTTTTTTGCGTGACAGAATACAAACACATTTCACATGCCTATGCTCTGTCTGCATTTTGAACATTCTTCCTAAATCATCATCAAACAGTTGAACAAAGAATTTACTACCAACTAACACAGGTGTATTGATCCTGTAATAATAAGTACATGGTCTGAATAATTTTAGTATATATTGTATGAAGGTTATGAAACTTCGATTTGTTTGATAATGTGTGATTTATTACATTCTTTGGTGATGGTTATAATATACACACCTCCTCGCCCTGCATTTTCACATCCGGTAGTCATGTTGGTAGCATTTCTTTTTCACGTTTTTCTCTGTTTGTTAGTCAAGACCGAGTCGGAATATTTATTTGTGTATCATGTCATATGATTTTGTACAATATAAGTTGAAAAATCAAGTTAATAAAGTCACTGAGTTTCTCGCTCATTCCCTTGGAGGTGGTTGGCAACAATGGTCGTGCTCTCCACTTAACTTTTTATATTTTTTTCTCATTTATTTTTTTTAAATTACCATTTGACAGTTGTCCTATTAATTTTTTTTTATTCGATAGCCTGCAGCCAGCAGTACATTCAGTGCAGCAGGCAGGGCATTGTTTGTTATTATAAATTTCATTACATAAAGATTAAATTTTGCCCACACAGACCTTTCTGTCTCCATACAAACCCAGCTTCAGGTTGTTGGATTTCGCTGAAATTATTTTTTGCAGTGAAGAGCAAGGACCAAGATTAATTACCAAAGATCACTTTCTTTATTATTAAACACAAAGAACAAGGACATGTGTGTGCTTCTAACAATCATAACCAGGACAGGCCTATACCTTTTATTCACAATAAACAAGTGGGTTTACAAAAAGTGTCTTCTGTCAACTCCAGCATATATATGTGGGGCAAGTAAAACTACTGTCCTAGCTACAATACTACAATCTACTATCCTGGCTACTAACTAAAATACTACTATTCTAGCTACTAAATAACATGAAAACTGACCTCAGGTACACTTGAAGACCATCGGCAAAGTGCCCCACCTCCACTCTTACGTACAGGTGAAACTGGGACAGATCTTGGACATTAGTAAGCTTGTGCACATGAGCAGTGCCAGGGTTCAGGAGGAATTCTTTTTTGTGCTGCACCTGTCAAAAGAAATTTAGGCTAATGTTGAGATGAAACAGTTAAAGTAAAAAGTTTATACTTTCTATGTAATTTGCTACACTTTGTCCAAGGAGCTAAGAGAAATAGATTTTAGAATAACTGGTACCTGCCTTTTGAAACTAAAAGTTTGCTAACAGGAATGCCATCTTTCTGTTTATATATTACAATAAATACCTATATACCTATCAGTGCCTTTTTATTAACTGAGGAAAAAAAAATAACTAAAACATGAATTATTATTTACATACATTCCCATCAGAAATATCTGGTGCAGAGATATAGATGGCAGCTGTACAATGTGTGTCCACAACTATCGCAAATATTTAATTATTTTTCTGTGCTGTATATCCTATGCATAAGGTTATGTGCAAGAGCGGGTACGCACTAAGGTAGATGTAGACGAGATAATTCACTTGATTCATATTGAGAAAGTTGCGAAATCATGGGACCATTTTCTTTGTGCCAGAGATGCCAGGTGAAAGTTCTTATCTCCACATTCTGTACACCACCTATAGTAACTGTTGATTAAGTAAGCATGTACAGATTATAAAGGACAATGTGAAAGCAACGCATTTAGTAGAAAAAAATTGTTAGAATATATAAAGCGCATAGTATAATAGTTCTTTAGTATACATTTTAGGGATTTAGTGGAATACACAAGAGTAAACATTATAGATCTTTGTGGTGAGAGCTTCCTTGGCATGCTGCTATAACATCTGTGTCTATACAAGTCTTAAACTTTCGTGAATGCCAGCTCGAAAATACAGGGGATAGTGAAGTCATCATCACAATCATGATCATTCTTAGCCTATGACGAAAGCAACTTATCCTATCTTCCATGATACTGTGAAATGGAAAACACATGCTGTGGATGGAAGCAAGTTAAGTGGCGTGATGAAACTGAGATGGTCACAGGAATAGAATGTACAGTTTAAAGAGTAACAAAAAGAACATTTTAAACACCATACTCACATGTTGAAGAGTGAAATTCACTACGTGAGCTTCCTGCTCAGGAATTGTGGCACTCGGGTTTATGGCAAAGGTAGATGCCACACTTGACAGCCAGAGATTTAGTGACGATTGAGGAATGCCAAATGCCAGGAAAGGAAACTTGTACGTAAAGCAATCTGTAGGCTGCTTCTGAGCGGCATCCATACTGTAATAAGAACAAAAAAACACATCCACAGGCACACTAATGATAGCATTTGTCAGATATGAAAGAATTGTCATCTAACTGGGGGACTGCACTGGCAAAAGTAGAGCGCATAGATTGAAACGAGACAATGCGCATTGCATGCACTTTCATTTCTACCATGTTCAGGTTGTGTCATATGAGTGCGATTTCAAATCAAATACTAGAATCAGAGCCCACATTTATTTTAGCAGCCAGATTCGTACGAAGATGACAATGTTATCCTGAGTGATAGCACATACCATTCATTAGTAAAAAAATTTGGTGTCATGGTTGAATCTGTGAGCACTGTACGTGTAGCACCTATAAGCCTCAGATGTTGATATATTACTCTGTTCAAAAATATTTTTGTGAATAACTGACGGCCTTCCAGGGTTTTGCTTGCGATACCTATCTAGCTCCAATTATAAGTAAAATGCTAATAATAAAAATTGGAGCTAGTTGTGCATACTCTTGCAAGTATCACCTGCTTACCTCATTTTTCACTAAGAGTGAATAAATGACCATGTTGTGCCACACCTTTTAATGCCAGATATATCTTTTGTACTATGAAAGGAGGAGTAGTGAGTCATTAACTAATAAGTTGAAGTGCTGAAAATTCAGAAATAACATAAAAATTAAAGCCTAGAGGCCAATACCTGATTGCAAAAGTGGGGTCGTGCAATATTGTGCCAGAGTTTTCATGACGACTGGTTGTTTCTGAGGTCGCAGAGCATTGCCCACCAGTGGAAGCAACAGAAACGGTGAGCTCAAGCCAGGCTGAGGAAATATGCAGCGTCTCCTGAGGAACATAGTTGTCCCTAATGAAGTTCTGTAAAAAAAAAGAGAGAAAGAAAAAAAAAACACTTAAAAATAACCCAGAATAAACACAGTATGTGAAGTTGTGCCATAACTGGAATTTATGGGTAATTTAGATGCCATTGAATATAAAAATAAATTTCAGTATGAATAAAAGTAGAATTTCATATATATTATATTATATATTATAAAATTATATTATAGAATATTATAAAATTTCAAGTAGAAATGCTGGCACCTAAGCAATTTAGAAATGTAGAATTTGAACACCCAAAATAGCATAGCAGGCTACAAAAAGTGCTATTGTAAAAAACATGTCAGTTCAATGTTAATCATCTGTAGCATTTTTGACATGCACATAAATGCAGATCTTGTATAGGTTTTTGCAGAATTCTATGACAGATGATTGCACAGTGGACATGAGATTTATATCGAAGTGATGAACAGGGTCTACCTCCTATGGGCAACGAGACAAACTGCTCGATAAAAACGACCTGTGTCGCAAAAGGGACACAAAAGTGTAAAATTTGCAGAAGGATAAAAAAAACAGTAATCGTTAAATACAAACCTTTATCATGCCTTCAATGTTGTGAATGTGTTCGCAGAACATGTGCCACGTGAGGAGATTCAGTTTCTGTGCCGATTTTATTAGATGGCCCAGAGCTGTGACGAGTTCTTGCAATACACTTTCCAAGCTTTTGACCTGTCGCCTGGACCGAACATCTTCAGCAAAGGATCGAAGCAGCTGCGATGCAGCAATTAGATCATGCTCTTGTCCCTGAAAAAAAGCGCCTGTTTATGTATTTTGATTACATGTCTTTCTTACTATATTCCTTACAGAATTCTGTACTAAATCTGCAACACCTTCAATGACAGTTTTATTACAATATTTCATGCAGCATTTCATACCATACTTCACAGCATGTTTTATAACAAATTTTATGAATCCACGCTATATTTGTCCCCTTCTCCAGTTTTGCATTGCTGCAATGAGAGCAGCCAAAAGATGTCTGTTTTGCGAGATGGTTGAGATTCTGTGGTAATAAATCTCAGTGCCAGCCTTGTCATGCTAATATAATACAATGTAATAATATTACAAGTTACAAGCAGTCTATACTTGTGACACACTTTTGTGAAGTTTCAGAATGAGGTTAAAATAGACATAGCTTTCGGGGAGCTGAAATAGCTGGCTATATATAATACCAATCAGTTGAATCGCATATAATGGTAAAATCATTTCAAGAAGAGGCATAATTATTGTAATGAAGTCATTTTACTATATAGTGTAGTAGCGCAAGCTCGATGGGGACACTAAAAGTGAAGTCGCTAAAAGAGAAATTGACAAAACCGATTTAAAAAAATTTCTTCTCACCAGAAATGGTGGCTTCACAATGACATTCCACGTTTGAATGAAAGCTTGCACAACGTTCTATAATAAAGGCATAAAAAACAAACTTTCATTAATAATGAACTGAGCTTATATAACATGCCACGTATGGAGTCTATATGATGGCCTTGTCCTCTACTAAATATTTCATTATTAATGAGAACCACTTTCCAGAAAAACACCTTCCAGAAAAAGAAACTAACCCTCAAGATATCCCTTATTAGCTTAGATACTTCAATGTTGCATAAAAAAATGTTCACTTTTTCATAGTAATTTCTATGCACAAATTTACAAGAAATATTACTGCATATGAAGTATGTCAGCTCAATTTTATGACATTTATTACATCGTGCAATATGATCCTCATTAATTAACATCGCTAACAACATAATGTATATGCACCGATTGCAGAACTTTTTTTCTTTTTAAACACCATACCTAGTCTTTCGAATCCACTTCTCAAAGACATCACCCCATCACCATTTATTCTGAATGCCTCCAACTCTCTTCCCCAATAATAACTGTGCAATTCCTCTACTCATAAACACTAAGTGTTCGTTTCATATTACGTGCTGTCTTGCATTTTCAATTTTTTCTTAAAAGGTGCCTCTTGCGTTTTGTATATTGTTCTCATTTTTTTAAATGTATACATCTACTGTACCAATAAGATCTTTTTACACTGATATAACCGACACTATATGTAATAGGGACCCCTCCCACAAGTGGCGTTGAGTTCTCGGGTATCAACTACATAAATACACTGCACTGTACATCATTCTGTATTGAATAGTAAACTGATTGACTGTGTTTTTATGGTGAGTGTTAATTTTCTAATGATATAAGTTACAGTATATTATGCTACTATATTGATAATATATTATATGCTAATACATTGTAACCTAAAGTGTTGGCTCTGTAACCAGAGCATTGAAGCGCTGAGCACAAAGCTGCAGGTCTTGTTTCTTCCCCCGATAGTCCCATTACAATAAGAATAAACTTTAATAAAAAATACGTTCCTGTGCTGTCCTTTTAGTGCATGATAAAAAAAGTCAGAGTTTTGTCACAAGAGCGAAGCAATGAGTGCGATAGTAATAACTTGAAATGTAACACTGAGAACGACTAGCCAATCGAAACGTACAGCTTACTGCTCACGCACGAATGACGCACGAGAACAACACACACAGGATGACAGCTAACTAACAAAGTTTACAGCTCAATGCTTAATGCACTGCTTAAACAAAAATGATGCACGAAACGTAATCACAGGTACAGATATTAGTGCGAACTAACGAGTGTCCGAGTTGTTACTTCACTGTGTTTCAAAGGCGCTCTCTTTTTGCAAACAGGGCTTGCCCAGTGAGCGAATTTGACCTCTGTGGCCCAGGTGACAAACGCAATCATTCTGGTGGAAGGCCAAGGCACATGGTTCTCCTCCCTGTATGATGAGCCTGAACCCACAAGCACCTAACCCACCCCTCCTCGCTCCCATCTGTCAGGCAAAGTACACGCAAGCTGTGTGCAGAGTGCAGGCGGCTTTTTTGCTTTCACAAGTTTTCCTATATATCGATACGTATACATATAGGGTGCATGAAGGCAGCTTTGGCAATGGTAAAAACCAGCTGAGACTGTCCATGTGAATGCTATCGCAATAAAAACCCATTTAACCATAATCAATAACAATCTACTACATATGTGAAGTATTGTTTATGTACCATTAGTACAAATCAGCACATGACGCAGTACATCAGAACACGAAGCAGGTACAAAACTGAAATCAAGTTCACAAAATTTGTAAGTCAACAATGCACTTACAACAGGAAAAGGTTCCAAGTTTCGAAGAATTCGCACAGCAAATCGCCAGGTGTTTGTCAAGTAGTCAAGTTGGTGTGTGTGCAAGTAGCTTGCAGACACCACGAAACTTTGGAGCACAATTACAAGCACTTGCAGCTTGTTCATTGCTGTGTGGTATTGCTGATCGTAAAAGACCTGGGTAATCTTTGGTAAAAGGTGGAAAGTTTTGTTTTTGCTGAAAAATGAAAAAGAAAGAGCAATACGCTGTTAGTAGCTATAAATTTTAGTTTTAATGATATTAACTGCGAGTAACAATGCTTGACAAGAAAAAATTGTGTTGTCATACCTTGCAGAAAGAGATTACTGTACCTTCTAAGAAAAGATAAATTTGCTGGTTAATCTCACTGAAATTGGCCGGATATGCATAAAACATAGCTAAAATGCAATCTTGTTTTTCAACAATGATCAACTACTTGATGTAAAGAAATCTACAATTCAAAAATAAACTATAAGGTCGATTAACTTCGTATTTTTGGGTACTGTGGTTACGAATTTAAATCTAGTAGGCATTATTGCATAGCAATAATTTACTGGGGTAAGATAATATATAATTGTAATCAGCATCATAATTACCAGTTTATTTATAGCTGCCCAATGAAGCAGTGATGAGATAGGTTTGTTTCATCAACACTACAATAATAATTCAAGCTACGTCAATAAATTTAAGCTTAAGCAACAACAAAATCGACACAAGATACGTTCCAGTAATACAAACTAGAATATTGACCAGCAGCTCTATGTAAAGCTTTGCCTTTGGTTATTTCAAAACGAGCCCTAAGAGCACAGCACAAAATATATTTAATGCCGTCTATGCAAGTGAGAATATTTCAGTATTTTAAATAGTTGAAAGAACATTACAGTATTCATTAACTTTCTCAAGAATTTAAGATTTTCATATTTTCGGTGCATTCAATATTATCAAATGATTAGACGTTTTGCTACATGTAACCCACCTGAAAAAAATGATTTCACTGCAGTTTGTAGCTGATATGCCAAGTAAATGTCTAGGCTAAAGAAAGCCTCGTTGCCATGACACCGCACCTCACACTTAAATAAGTATACTAATTTAATTCTTTTTTAAAGTTAGAAAGCTATTACACCCACTAAGCATGGAAAACTTTTAAATGTATTGTATTTTACTACTCACAACTTATGCCATGCTAATCCTGCTGATCTTTGAATTTTTCTTTGAAATTATTCAATGCGCTCACTTTAACTTGCCCCTGAACCAAAATGTCATACTCCCACAAGCTTAATGCACTTCAACCGCAGGGAGATCTATATCAAATCATGTAACAGCTGAACCAGTTTTCTAACTTCAGACGACCACTTTCACCCCTAAAATTATGCTCCTAGTTTTTACCTATGTTCCTGTATTCTGTTTGCAGATTAGGCTTATGAGAATATGCTTCACAGGAAGCAGCGACTTGACTTACATGTCAAAGAGATTGCCATTCAGAACTTTCACCATGCTGGTCTGTGGAACGCATGACTGAAAGCCGTCACCATCTTGCACGACCATGCTGACGTACACTACAAAAGTGGACAGAGAAAAAAATTGAAGCCAGTTATTTAATTATATCAGTACAGTACAAACTTCTTCCAGTTGTCTTTTTCGATTTTCACATAGAGATAACACTACTGGCTCTTAACATTGCTTATGTGAGAATGAGAAAAACTGAATTACATATGTTTTTTAATTTTTAATGTTTCTAGTTGAAATGACCTGACCCCTTCTTTATTAGGTAACTGTGTGGATTAATTTTGTGGCTTTGCGATTAGTACTGAGGGAATGGCAATGCTTCTTTCACAAATGCCAAATAATCAATGAAGTCACCATTGTTGCTCAGTGTGGTCTTTCCAGTAGGCAGCCAAAATGAGGAGGTGGAATGAGATCCGCGATACAGTTGTTGCCAGGTGCCACCAGGAGACAGGCTGTAGCTGATGATGTACGTGTACGGTTTTCGGCCGCCTTTCCAACCAGAGCAGTTTGCCGTGAAGAGCGTTTCCAGAGCGACACCGTTCTGGGGCTCAACAACACACCGACCTCCTGAGATTCCTTCTCCAACCGTTATTCTCTCTCTCGCTTCTCCCCTGATCTCACTGGAACCTAATTGTGCAGAAGAAAAAAAACGAAAAAAACAAGGATTTAAGTCAAGTGTGTATAAGGTATAGCAACCATGTGCCCTTACAATTTCGGCAATACAGTCTAATTTGCATATATAGAACCCCCATATAAAATCTATCGTGTATATTGAACAGACGTAACATATCCTTTGCGTTGATGTATTTTTGTGTATGTATACACACACACACACGCACACACACACGCACGCACACACACACACACACACACACACACACACACACACACAGCGCGGCTATCACATCGAATGCGGCTATCACACACGAATGCGGCTATCACATCGTGCAGAAAGCGAGTGCTCGCAAGTTCCCGAGTCAAGAGAATTCCTGGTGCTTCCAACCGAGGGAACGCAGTCAAACGCAACATACACGTCGACACCTTGAAGTGCTTCTTGTGCAGGCACCGAATGCGGTTGGTGAACTTGAGATACAGACAGCGAATCTGTGACCTTGGCCAATCACCTCTGTTTACATGTCAAGCACATGCGTCAAAACCCTGTCGTGCCCACGTTACATCAGTCACCTCGGCACGCTTTTGTTTAAATATACAAGTACATATTCTAGCCATGCTTTTGTTTGCATTTGAACACAAAAACAGCAAACAATGTCTGCTACATCTGCACTTCTGATATGCCGTGTTAATAGCGCGTGGCTGTGATGCCAGCAAAGGGCGGAATAAAATAGCGACACTCCATTGCACATAGAAGTTTCTTCTCGCTGTATCGCAATCTATCTGTCTGAAGACACGAAAACGAGCCCTCTTCACACTATAACAGGCCGGACAGTGCGTGCTTGCTCGCTAATAAATCCAGCACTCATGGCAACTCCCATGACCAAATCATATTGAAATTGGAGTCCCCAGTGCAGCCAACAGCTATTTCAGTGCTCCTTGCCTTTTAAGACACTAAAATAAAGGCCTGCATTGCATACTTAGCTGGCAGGAAGTGTGATATACAATTGTCTATCCTTGCGCAAAAGCATTATTTGATGGGTCGTACTGCAAGTAAAACCACATTATGCAATATGTTTTTATTGATTGCGGAAGCTGATGTGCAAGAGAATAAGTGAAGAAAGTTTAAGAAACATGCAAAAATAGTTTTTTTCATTTGTCTTCAGAAGTTTCCTTTGCATGCTGTTTTTTCGAAGTTAGCGCGCTTGTATCATTTTATAGGAAAGTGTTATCAATATGAGCTTTGGCGTTTTTATGAATAAGCATGCTGAGAGAGTATCGCAGATTTTTCCCTGCTCTGTCGTAAGCTATTCATGAAATAAGGCCTGCAATGTAGGCAGAAAAACGTTTCTTGGAATGATTTTGAGACTTTTTATAAATGTATCTGGCCACCAAGAGAAGCAAAAAATAACTGAACCTAAGCAACAGTATGCATATGACGTAAGAAGGTAGCGACGGTTGGTAGAAGCAGAGGAGGAAGAAGTGCAGAAGGAATAAACATGGGGTATGAGCCAAGCCACGTCTCCCATTCTTCATAGAGTCACACGAGTCGAAGGGATGGAGACCTGCCTGCCCCTTCATCGGTCACTCATCATCGACGCAGTTCCCCAGAAGACACCCTGACCATACATTGACTACCGAATCATCGCCTAGAAGGACAACGACCAGCACCATGACAGAACCATCGGCTGTCCTCGACATCCCCAAGTACACCGGATCAGCGGACGACGGACCCGTACAGGACTGGTTCAACCTATTCGAGGTCCACGCCACCGCTGCATCCTGGTCAGAACGGGAAAGGATCATCAACTTCACTGACTACATCTCCGGTGAGGCATTTAAGTTTTACCTCACCCACATCTTTGAAAATGACGAGTCTTGGCAAAAGATAAAAGAAGAAATGATCACTCGTTTTAGCGACTATGACCAAGACCTACTTATTGCCAACCATCTCAAGAAAACCCGACACTATCGTCAATTCCCTAAGCAATCATCGAGCCTTGTGACGCTATAATGAATCGGAGTCGTGGCCTGGCTCATACACCATGTTTATTTTAAAAGCACTTCTTCCTCCTCAGCCTCTACATTCAGTCACTACATACTTACGTTACACGCATATATTTAGCTAAATAAATTTGAGATATATAGCTCTAATTAATTTTGTGTATTTCATCGCCAAAGTTAGAAAAACAGCAAAGCAGTTAAGCGAGGCACTCCACTGCTTAGTCAATGTAAATTTACTGTGCTTCGAAAAACACTTTTTCAGGAAAAACCAATTGTGGATTTATTCTTTCCACTCATCAGGTGACAATATATAAAATTTTGAAATAAGTTTAAGAGGTAAATCCTCCATGCTTTGTTCCATCTTACGTGAAATCCCACTTTGATGCGTTTTGTACTTTTAAACATTTTGAGCACTACTGTAAAGCTTATAAAGATATTTACGTTTTAAGGTCATATAAAAGAGTACACACAGTATGTATATGATTTATTGCCAAGTTACTTTATAATTTCACTCATTTTGCAATTGCTAATGATGCCTATCAAATAGAACTTCACGAATGTTCCAGTTTAAAATTCAAATAAAGTAATACCTAACAGAATGATTCGACTTGCATATTGATAGTACTAATTCTACTTATAAATAATTTGAAATATACAAACAGACTGATTCTAAATGTAAAAAGTGGGGTGCAGTATGGAAGCCCAAATGGCTGTTTTGCCACAAATAGATTATATTTTATTACACTCAAGCCATCCAAAGAAAATGTTTCATTTGACCATGAAGCTGCCACATCGTGAAACAATCTATTCAAAGGAAGTTAACAATTCTGCAAAGCCACAGTTCAAGACGATGTCTGGATACTGCCTCCACTCTGATTAACATTTTTTTAAAGTTGAAATGCATGTTATATAGGCTTACATGGGCTAAGCATGAATAATTTTGAAATGTGATGTATATTGCTGCTTAACACTTGCATCCTAGTGGTATACAACATGTGAAACTATTTGAATCTGCTTCAAATTTCTCAACACTAATTATTATTTACTTCTACTTCAATTGTAGCCAAAAAGGTAATATTAAAGCAAACCTATCAAAAATCCCCAAGCCAACACACCTTTTTGGCGAATTATGACATGAACTGAGTAGGAAGACCTGGCAATCAATGTTCCTGGTTTAAGGATCAGCCATCCATGATTGAGGAACGATCTCTCAATGCTGTCAACTTCAATTCTCTCTTGAGGATGGCTGAAGAATTTTCTGAAGAATGGCCCCCTGGCACTCTCTGCAGATGCAACACCAAGCCTGCTATCAATTCTTCTGTGCCTTTCCCGGTCTGAAAAAAAAAAAATCATCAAAGAAGTGCCTTTTTAGCTTTCCAGCACCCAAGTGGCTACATGCGGTCTTGTAAATAGCAGAAAACAATTACGAAAATGTGATTTTAACCACTAAAGCCTGCATAGATGCTTGCATTAATAACAACTATGCCCGAAGGCTGAGGGTGCATACCAAGATCTGCGATCAACGTACCTTTAGAATGTTGTCGGTTTCCGAGGTCGGCAACAAGATGGCTTGGAATTGCTTCGAAATGAACTGAAGTAGTATAGGTGCCTGTAATAGAGAAGTATACATGGCAGTAGCAGACTGGCATGCACGCAAAATTATTGTTGTGAGCAGGTCAAAGATATCACAGGGCGACTTGTGAGGGAGACAAAAGACGTATTTATTTCTTTACAATTCTGCTATTATCTTTTAGGAGTGTGGCAGTTGGTTATTACAATAATTTTTCACAAAATGTTCAAACAAAAAGAAAACACACAAGCAAACACATCCGATCACAGTAACAGAACATGAAGATCATATATACACTTAAGTCATGTAGAAGTTAAATATTATAGTAATAAATGATATATACGATAACTACAGGATAACATACAAGCCATGAATATTCTGCAATGCTGAAATCAAGTCGAATGGTTTTAGAAAGAGGAAGCTTTTATGAAGAGTAGACAAAGATAATCATGATAATCTGCAGAGATTGTGCGCCAAACATGCAATCATCAGGGTAAGCTGTATAGATTTCTTGAGAGTGCCAGGAAAGAAAGAAGAAACAAAGAAAGATATAAGCACACAGCTGCTGTTCATACCATTTTTTGTAGATTCTGTGCCATTGGCAAAATCTGGAAATGGTGGAATTGGGCTTCCTGAAAAAAAAAAAGAACAAGAAGAAGATAACATCATGTTTATTACCATGGACATGAATGCAAGTTGAGTAAGCACTCAAGAAGTGTTAAAAAATTATTAAAAGCAACAGTCATGCTGGGAGTGCATATTATGATGCGCGGTCACTCCATGCTCATGTGCTTTATTCGTTGTGTTCATTGAGAAAACAGTTAGGAAAAGATCAGAAAAAGCGAGTGTTTAGATCGCATTATCGAAAAAAAAAGCAACAGCACTTAAGGAACATGAGTTTCAAAGTCCTGGTAGACTTATACGACTCTTTGAATTCCCATTATTTAGAAGGCTTTTAAAGTGAAAAAAAGCCAACCTATCACCTCACATGAACACATGTTTCATCATATATGATGCATGTGCTATGTTGAGCTGTATATTTCACATAAAATTACAAGGTAAGGAATAAATACTGCAAGACCAGATCAAGCTCTGAAAGAATAGAAGAGATAATAAGAATACCAAATTCTTAAAGCCATGTCTTCACAAGATGATGCTTTTGCAAGACAAGTCACACAAACAGGAAATAAGTTATTAAAATATGTTATCAGATCATCAGCATTCACTGACCTGAATTTGCTTGACCTAGGCCGAGCTGAGTGCCGTGTGCTCTGCGGTGCGGAATTCGACCAGTTTGAGTTCCACTGTTGTCTGAATTTATTCGACTATTGCCACTTCCGCTGTCACAGTGGTCATCACCTGCATGCAAGACAACGTGTGTCAGTCGAGTGCAGTCACTGGCACTTCTACAACAGCCAAATTATTGATGCAAGCAAGATGCTTTCTATTGTATAATTCTCCCTATAAGAACCCTGCCTGCATGTCTCTTTGAGGAGGAAAGAACACTTATGATAGTCCCCATTTCTTGTTCTTTTACCAATATCCTTATCTCATGGAACATCTATAGAGAAGGTGTAGCAAAAGAAAGATCCTTCCCCATATGCTTGAAACGAGCATCTCTCAATTAGCTATTCATTGAATGAACATCATTAAGAAAACTTTGGTTTCCAGTACAACACATTTGTCTTTCTACTTGTTATTATTTGCCCTTGTTATTCCACAGATATTCTATTTGTTATTAAACTTGTTATTTCCACTAATATTTCCACCTGTTATGTCTTTTCTGCTTGTTAACATTGCCAACAAACAATGCTGAAAATCCTCAAATCAAGCTTATATGCACTCAGCATATATACAGCTACATTCGTACAATATAATATTAAGACCTCAATCATTGCAAAAATGACGATGTTAAGTCAGAATGATGAAAAATAAGGACTTGCAATCCTCAGTTCTGCATACCTTGGTGATGGATTTCATGGTCTGCAAGGCGCCACAGCGACCACTCAAAGTCGAGCTCTTCCTTGGTGTCACAGTCCACGCACGATGCTGTGAGAACCACTCTTTTGTGACTTCGAACTTGTCTCCCATAGCCACATGACCGGCAGCTCAGTTCAGTGAGTCTGGAAGGTGACAACAACGTCGAGAAATTATCAGCCTTCCTTGCAAAACACATGTTGGTCTGCTAGCTCAATTGTGAATGAGTAAACACGTTTCACAAAAACAGCTCTATCTTGCTGCCATCAACAAAGAAGCAAGGCCATTGCGAGAAATCGCCATGCCGATACTATAACTGCAAAAAAGGCATTCTGAAATAGCAGCTTTGCACACAGAAGTCCTGATAAACTGCTACCAAAGGGATAGTTTCCTGAAAACAATATGACTAGATCTGGTGCTATATTATAACTTCATGCTCTTCTCTTGCTGTTGATTATGCATTTACTGCATGCTGAAATGCTAAGCTTTATTCTACAAACCCAAGCGATCGTAATTTGTCAAGATTACCACTGTCTAGGAAAAAGCTTGCATGAGTTGAGCTGAAGCTAAAGCACTTAAATGCAGGTTAAACAAAGTAATGTACTTCTGGCCACAAAAACAAAAAAAAAAGCTTTCCAACTTGAAAAAGCATTCAGTGTGAAAATAGTCGAAGGTCCTAGCACACCTTATTTAAGAGTGCCTTCTAATACCAAAAAAGGCAAACTGTACAATGAGCAAAGTGAAGCAATTCAATGATTCTGAACGAGTGACCAGAGGTTCTGCCAGGACAGCAACTACATAATTAAACCAATTAAAGAAACATATACCTTCTTGTTGCGTTGGTTACAGCACTTTTCATATGTAATATAAAAAAACACTTTATTGTTCCATTACATCATACACTTTGCTTACATAATAATATGCACACATAATAAGATGTGTTGGTTGTTACAAGAAGAAAAGAAAATGTAAGCAGCCTATGGACATTAGTTTTCTTGCAGTTTCATTCTAGATTTTACCCTCGCAACGCATGTAGGCCCACATAATTGTGAAAAAAATAATAAAATGTCAGTGTCGCAACCATCCCCTGGGCATTCCAGACTCCGTTTCATCCCCTTGGCATTCAAGCTCCTGTAGAGCTTGTCTGCACGCAATATAATAGTTTATGAGAAGAAGCCCACTTTTTGAGCAGCCTTGTTTTGTGCGGTTTTTCATGCAATGACTGGAATGTCAAGGTAGACAAATGAAGCATGAATTTTATTGCAATAAGCAATCATATCGACAGTACCGGCTGATTTTTTGCCGTCGCCGCCACTGCCACCGTCATTCACAAATATGTATATGTATATATATGATCATCATCATCTTCTTCATCATCATCACCATCCTCAGCCTGACTACGTCCACTGCAGGACAAAGGCATCTCCCATGTTCCGCCAGTCAACTCGGTCCTGTGCTTGCTGCTGCCACTCTATACCAGCAAAATTTTTAATCTCAACTGCCTACCTAACTTTCTGTTTAGGACAGGTAATAGCTGCGGAGCTGAACTATGAAATTGAAGTAAGTAGAAGAATGGGGTGAAGCACATTTGAGAAGCACCCTCAAATCATGACTGGTAGATTTATTGATTGATATGTGGGGTTTAACGTCCCAAAACCACCATATGATAATGAGAGACGCCGTAGTGGAGAGATTTGGAAACTTTCAACCACCTGAGGTTCTTTAACGTGCACCCAAATATAAGCACACGAGCCTACAGTATTTCCATCTCCATCGAAAATGCAGCCGCCGCAGCCGGGATTAGATCCCGCGACCTGCGAGTCAGCAGCTGTCTGGTAGATTACTATTATCCCTCAAGAGGAAGGTATATAACAGCTGCATCTTGCCAGTACTTACCTACAGAACAGAAACTTGGAGACTTACAAAGAGGGTTCAGCTTAAATTGAGGACGACACAACGAGCGATGGAAAGGAAAATGATAGGTGAAACCTTAACAGGCAAGAAGAGAGCAAAGTGGATCAGGGAAGAAATGGGGGTTATATGTATTATAGTTGAAATCAAGAAGAGTAAATGGACACATGGGTGGGGCAGGATAACTGCTGTTCATTAAGGGTAACAAAGGCAAGCGGGTTAAGGGGAGACAGAAAGTTAAGTGGGCAGATGAGATTAAGAAGTTTCTGGGTATATATATATATATATATATATATATATATATATATATATATATATATATATATATATATATATATATATATATATATATATATATATATACGGGGAAGAATGGGCTATCCTCCACTTTTTGGGGAGCGAATGTCACCTTTTCGGGCAGGGGTCGTCTGCACAAGCTTATCTCGTGAGTGAACAAGGGGGAGGGGGGGGGGGTGAAGCTTATCCGCAATCATCAGCGAGTGCCTTGTGCCCCCACAGTCAGCGGGTGCTCCTATGGGCTGCACTCTCAACGCGAAATGACAGTGCCAAGAGTGTACTTGGAGCGGCCGTGTTCTTTTACACCAGCGTTTTGTAGAGTTACGTGAGATCGGATATAAATGAGTTGACTGCCAGCCTAACTTCGTGTATCAACACCGTCACTACATACAAGCCTTGTTATGGTCGTCTACTGCAGCAGTGTCGCAGTAAACTTGGTTACTTTGCAAGCGCATGTTTACGACAATTAATATTGCTCATAAAAATGCTAGCCTTGCTTCGTAAAACATATGATTATGTTGCTATTGCATTCATTGCATCACCCTTTTGGCGAAACTGTGGCATTTTTCCAAAAACTGACTATGCTACACTTGCTACTAAGAGTGCAGTCCACTTGGTGCTAGCATACTAGAACACCTTGCGACCCCTGCACAGTCTCAGCATATTTTTTTTTAAACAACAATGAGAAAAGGAATTTTTCTTTAAATAGTAAATTACTCTTACACCAAAAACACCATGCAAGCTTGCTGCAAGATGGTGCTTGGTAAGCAAGAAAATGTATAAAACGAAAATGTGGGAGGTTCCTGCACTAGCAGCTGTCAAGTCATAGATTTTGACGGCGCCTACTGTGGCCTATGTAGTGCCCAATGAGCGAAATAGAGTGCATCATTTTTCAACAGTGACAGAGAACACAACAAGACTCAGAACATTTCATAATGCCTAGTCTGGCCAAAATACGAGAAAACACTAAGAAATGCATGGTGTCACGCTGACAATCATGTGCAGAGATTTTGACAAAATATAAAAAATAGAACTTTGACTTTAATTTTCTGTTGTCTTACATCAGGCGAAATTGAGCCCACAACAATCATTAGAGTATGATTTGTCAGTTGAAACTGATTTGTTGTTTCAGATTATTGTCCGTTTAATGGTAGACCTTGCCTTCTTTGCTGAAGAAAGAAATTTCTTGATGCTAGTCGTACTATGTGGCTTGGCAGTAATACACCAGCTCGTGAGAAAAGTTACGGTAGGCATCTATATGAAGCTGCTTATTTCTCATTTCTAGAATTTACTATGCTATTTCGTGCTTATCATTACCTTGCTGAGCACGCAAGTAACTTGCCCGATGTCATCTACACATCTCCATTACTTGAAGTGATGCCACTCTCACAGAAAGTGAACATGCAACTTGCAGATGAAGTTTATAGATTAGAATAAATGGAAAAATAATGCAAACTTCACATACCTTTGGGATAACAGTTATGCAACACATTACCAGAAATTGTAAAAGATGCAACATTTCTAGAGTGATAGCTTTACTCCTTAAGATGCAAAACCCAGAAAATGCTTTGTCGCATCAATTTGACTTCAAGCTTTGCCAAGGTCCCACTAGCACTTATCATTTGTTGACCTCATTGTCATGGTATTCAGTGAGTGAGAATAAAATGAATTGCAAAGAATGCTTTACAGTTTCAACAAAATAAACTTCAGAAACAATGTTACAAAATAACAGCACAACACTTATGCACCCCTTTCACACGGTTGCATTACGAATCTGACATACCGGTATCGAGGACCTGCTGTAGATGCCTCCAGGACTTGCTGTGCAACACGAGAGGAGCCATTCCCAAGTGTCAGCATTGCAGTGAACAGGAAAGCACTAATATTAGGGTTCAGCGAAGAAGTGAGGAAACGCAGAGTGCTGGTGCTTCGCTTGGCCAGTGATGATGGGAAGGGTTGCGTGAAACATTCGGCATGGTTGTCGTTGAAATCCTCGCACTTCCAAGTGATCCTGCAAAAAGCCCAAAAATACTAAGCTGGTGAAAGTTGATGTGAATGCTGACGAATGCACCCCCGGTTCCACTAATGCATCAACTACACACAATATTATAACTTATGCCACATAATATCTTACCACTGAGAATTACCCACTGGGAACAAGCTAACTGATGGCATGCTGTTACTGCCCTTTCTAAGTAGATTAACTCTAATTGTATGATGACAGCTTGCTTCAGGAGAAGATCACCACCCAAAAATAATGATAATAAAATTCCAAAATAGTGAGAAAATTTTTATTTGACAATGTAACTCGGTTCACAGCGGTGATGCGAGCTACTCTTATTTCCATGATACTGATTAAGCTGAATTGGTAATGACAAATGCCTTACTATTTAGTTTGTGATTGTGCTCTCTTCCTTTCAGATCATATCAGTCATATCTTTATATGTCCTCACAGGAGACCTTCTCAGCTCTTATCAGTGTTATCTATGTTGTTTTGTCTCTTATATAGCTTTTATTCATATCCATAGGCCTTTGCATGCTGATCGACCATCATTACCATCACAGCGGCTAGAGAGGTCACGTTAGTTGCACGGCACAACACTTTTTGGCTGATGATGCTAATTATTTGTGCGTATGTGGGAAAGGCGGTGCTAGGGGTCAACTATCCTTTTATGTAGTGCACGCACATATATAGGTAAATTGCGAAACTTTGAGAGAAGGGGGTTTTAGCATTCCTCTCTCCATTGCTCTTTCTTTGGCCACGCCAGTGCCGCATCGCAGTGATGTTCCATGCAGAACATTTTTTCCTTTTTCGAGGAATTTTCTTCTGCCGTTTTGCACCAGAGAAAAAAAGGTAATCTTCGTGTTATTGCAGAAAATCGCATAAATGAATAAATTCTTTTATGATGACCTGTACTTAGCAGTAACAGTGCGCCTTCATCTGCTGTAATCAGTTCTGGTGCATGCCCCACATGAGCATAGGCTTTGGGATTTGTTTCTGATACGGTATTTACGCAGAGCGGTTTCCAGTTCACTATTGGTGTTAGACTTTAAGCCCACAATGTGCAGTGTACTAACAGTGTATGAATGAATAAAGTCATGCTTTTGCTTTGCGGCAGTGGAGGGGCTAGTTATAATTTTAGATGTCACCAGCATGTGAGATACGTGTAATTATAGTGTGTGCGCGTGGATGAGGGTGGAAATTAGTATTGTTGTGCAATAAAATATGCTAAGAACTTTGTCAACCTGTGCAGGGAAAAATCCCGGAAATAGGAAATTTTTATGTCTCTGAATGGAAATTCTTCGGCGTAGTACGAAACATTATGGCCGTAATGTGGCGCGCTCAGAGCGCTCGTCAAACTGGTTTTTCCACAGTATGACCATCTGTGAGGAAAAGCCCACAATATGCGCCTCTTTCTTTTGCGAGCGACGATGCACATTTGTTTTGAAATTTATTGCGGCGAAGTTCTTCTGTATCTCATCAGACTCTTTTTATCAAGTTCTTTTTTCGCAAGGCGTCTCTTGTGTGCTTGTGCTGCAATTTTAACCACAAGAAGAGAGAAATAGTCACGCGTAGAACCATGTTGTATCAGGCGATAACGATAAGGCACTGCATGCACAGTTTCCATTCCATATCCTAATACATGAAATTCTTTGAATATAGCAAAACTCCGGACAGACAAAAATGTCCTAATAGCATTCCCCTCACAGGTGCTGGTTAACAGTGAATGTTCCTGTACAAACTAACACGGAGGGGGCAATGTTGCGCCTATTTTTTTCTTGCATGGCTTGCCCTGCTACATATTGAGAATTATAAGAAAAGGCAACCTATACTTTAAACAAATCACGGATACGCCAGCTACAGACGCTACGGCGTGATGCAGTAGTCGCCTTTTTTCTAATGTCCTTTTAGGTGACGCAGCAGGCACAGCAGCAGAGAGGAGGAGGAGGAGGAATGAAAGAGGAAGGACAGGGAGGCTAGCCAGTTCTAAGCAGCAGAGAGGCACACACAAGCAGAAGGCTGTGGTGGTTATGTTGTCAGGCGTAGCTCTGCGGTGGCCCGTACTGAATGAAAAAGCACTTGGATGGGGAGCGGTACATGAAAATTTTGAAACCTAGGCCATAAAAAAAAAAATGGCAGCATATCCACGGTAGAGTGTACTAGAAGTGTTGAGTGGCGTGACCGCTCTCGCCGCCTGATCCCTTCCTCGTTGCCTGCAGCGGTGGCGCTGCAGTCGAATAGTACTGAAAGAGCCGCGCGCCGCGTGCAGGAACTGCTGTGCTCTTCGGCTCCTCCGTCGCACTTTCTAAATGCAAATTTCTTCATACCTGCCCATCATTCATGTTTAGCACATGATGCCATAGGCCTTGAAGTACGACACGCCAATCTACTGAATTTGAGCTCAATAAAAGCCCTTGTGAGAGATCTAAAATAATTCAGAAAGGGTGTGTTTTATACTCATTTCTTCTCTCTTAACTCTTTCTTTGTTGAATAGGCGTCTTCAATATTCAGAATAACTTAGCCAATTTATTGGAAGATATCTGTGCTCAGAAAGCTGTGAGATTAAAAACTATCACTGTGCCACATGTACGCAGAGCCAGAAAGCCATAAGTAAAGAGGAAAGATGAACGAAATCTGAACCCCCTACACCAGAATATGTTTTCGTAATTTAACTTTTCAGGGTATACTAAAATATTTACACGCATTCACAGCGACCTCCAAGTGCCAAAGTTAGGCGTTCTGCTGCCCATCCCACCCATTCAGAAAAAAAGTTTCGATGGGTAGCACTGCGCTGATAAGTTACAGTTGGCGAAGCTGAATATAGCGTGTCTCTACAAATGTGCACTGTAGATTTCACCTTTTCGACGGTATGAGGTCGCATAACTAGTTCAAGTCTAACATAGTCAGACAAGAAATGCACTACCTAAAAATAGTAGCTGTGCTAAGGGGCATTGCATGGGTGTGTGTGTGTGTATATATATATTGTTATGCCAGCGAGTCCTCGTCAAACGACCGTGCCTCTGAAAAAGGCAATCTGGGTCAAGGCCAGCCCGCAGTCTGCCTGGCGCGATCACCTCGACGGCGTGAACACGCGCGGCGCTCCTCTGGCCCACGTGCAGTGAGTCAGTTGCGCACGTGACAGCGAGCCGGCGTCCTCGTGTCAGGTGGTCTGACGCATGGCGCGGCGGCCCCCATTGGCGGAATCTGCCCGGACGACCCGCGGCGCTTCTGATTGGACACTTTGGTTGGACCCGGTGTAAATAAAAGAAGCCCTGCGGCGCGTCGCGATCGGCGGTCCTATGTGAGAGGCGTCCCCGTGTCGGAGTGCCGACATGTGTGTGAGTCAGCGGTCTTAGGCGAAAGGCTGAACTATGTGTTAGAGAGAAGAGCTCGGCTCTTCGAGTCTCTGTCGGCCCCAGTGCCGAAATTGTAACGCCTCTGTATATATGCTGTACATAAACCTTGTTTAACTCACCGTCGTCTCGTCCGCTCGTCTCCTCAGCTCTGCGCAGAAGCAGTCGCGAGCTGATAAACATACGCTACCAAACGGCTGGTGACCTTCCCGGCGGAGTTGAAAGCAGTGGCGCCTCCGGGGCCGTGTTGGCGTCGCCGTCTTTCGCAACAGTGGTGGCTTCGGCGGGATCGGTCCGCCGTTTCTCAACAGTGGTGGCAGCGGTGGGATCGGTCCGTCGTTACGCAACAGTGGAGGTCAGCGGTGGGATTCGGAGCTGGCTTCGCAACAGTGGTGGCAGCGGTGGGATAGGCCCGTCGTTCTCAACAGTGGTTGGCAGCTGCGGGATCGGCCGGCGTCAGCGACATCGATGCGGTGAGTGCCTGATGTTTTCCCCTCAGTTCACCAGACTACTCTAGCTCAGGTTGTAGTAGTTTAGAGAAGGGCTGTGTGAAGCATTCGAGTGAGCTTTGATCGTTTCAAGCAAAGTCGGAAGTGCTTTGAAACCAAAGTTAATGCGGAGGGGGTAAACACGGGAGTGTGAAAAATTGCTTGCGCGTCTTGCTAGTAGGCTTATAGTGGGTACGGCAAGTAGATTCTTAACAGGGGCAAACAGCAAGAGGCTAGTGTGAACGATGGAGAACCTTAAAGTGAAGGAACTCATCGAAATTTGTGAGGAACTCGGCATTACTTTGGGCCGTGCGAAACGAAAGCAAGCGATCCTTGAGATCATGAAGGATGAGGGAGTGTCGGCTGAGGAAGTCGATGAGGCCTGGGTAGATATTAAAGCACGCCGTGAGGAGGCTGAAAGGCGAGAAGTAGAAGCTCGCGAAGAAGCTGAAAGGCGCGAAGCTCGCGAAGAAGCTGAAAGGCGCGAAGCTCGCGAAGAAGCTGAAAGGCGCGAAGCTCGCGAACGTGAAGAAGCTGAAAGGCGCGAACGTCGCGAGGAGGCCGAGCGACAAGAGCGCCTAGAGTTGAAACGACTAGAATTGGCAATCCTACAGTGTTCGCAGGCGCCTAGCGTAGCTTCTCCGACGATTCAGGTCAGCGGTTTCAGAATTCGGGACCAACTGCCACCGTTCGTAGTAGGCGAGGACATGGCGAAGTATCTCGTCAAGTTTGAACACGTCTGTGAGCGAAATGCTTTGGAGCGGTCTCTTTGGGCGCAGAACCTGTTAGCTCTTCTTCCCGGCGAAGTGTCCGACGCATTAACTTGCTTGTCGAGGGAAGCGTTTGAGAGCTATGACGAGGTTAAGGAAGTGCTCTTGAGACGTTATAAGTTGTCACCCGAGGCTTTCAGGCAAAGGTTCCGGTATGCTGAAAAGGGGAATGAGTCACACGTTGACTTCGCGTTTCGTCTTAAAGCCGATTTAATTGAATGGCTCAAGGGCGAAGGTGTTTATGACGACCGCGATAAAGTGGTGGAATGCCTTGCATTGGAGCAATTCTACCGCTGCATCGAGGATAATGTCAGACTTTGGCTGCAGGACAGACTTGGGGAAGTACAGTTAAATAAGGCAGCTGAGTTAGCTGAGGAGTATTATACTCGCCGAAAGTT